ATCCAAAAAAATGTTTCGTTTAATCGCAAAAAAAATCAAAAACGAATTTTTATTACGTGGGAAATTCGAAATTTTATTCAATTTAAAAATTTGCCAAAATTTGGCGTAATGTCTCTTGCGCCAAATAAATGACAGTTTATCCCAAAAATTAATTCTTTTGAGAAGTGGACACTTGAGTCTGAAGTCTGAAAATTGAAGTAATTATATAGGTCGGTTGGGTGTGGCAGTTGAGTGTGATGAGGGTAATTTTTAAAAATTTTTTATTTAAAAAAAAATCGATATCAATCAATAAAATCGATATTAATCGATAATTATTTTTAAGAATAGTTCTTAAATATTTGTATTTTCAAAAAATCGATATCAATCGATAAAATCGATACAAATCCATAAATTACTTAGAGAAATTTTATATTTTCCAAAAAAATCGATAAAATCGATATCGATCGATAATTATTTTTAAAAATATTTACAATTTCCAAAGATCAATAAAATCAATACTAATCGATAATTTATTTGAAGGAATTCTTAATTTTCACAAAAATAGGTTTTTGATTTTTGCCATTCCGCTCTCAAAATAAGCACCGAACTGGCCATAACAGTTAATATTTATTTTTTTCTCTAACTACACTATTTCTCTTTTATAATTTCTCAATTTTTAATTTTTGCCATTCCGCTCTCAAAATGAGCACCGAACCGGCCATAGTTACTTATATTTACTTTTTTCTCTAATTACACTATTTCATTTTTTTAATTTCTCTAAACTACAGGGAATCAATTAATCGAGATTCTTATTAAAGAGCATCACAGTTAAGACAGGACGGTTGAGTCCTGACTAAATTTCTTGTCTAAATTTCTATAGAACACAATAAAAACAAAGCCAAAACATTTTATATAAAAAAGAAAAAAAAAAGAAAAAAAAACAAAAAAAAATTAAAAAAAAAGAAAAAAAGAATTGTTGTAGAAGCACCACCTCTCCATCAAATGTCTATCTTGTTGTTGCTTTTCCTGTTGATGTTGTTTTGCTGGGAATTGTTCAAGTCTGAAAGAAAAAAAAAGAATTTTGCGTGATTTTGGACCCCATTTCAAGCTCAAAATCTCAGTAAATTTATGATCATAGGGGTAGATGGGGGGGGGGATTACACAAATTATCCACCATACTTTTACCTAAAGTATAAAGAGGCATCCTACAAAGTCCAAAGAAATCAGCCTGTTATAAATAGAACAAAGTTTTAAATGTTCTTTGTGGAAAACGAGTATGTTCCCGAGGAATTTAGACGATGTTGGGACAACGAAAATAAAAAACGGATAAACTCAATTGTATCAGTAATCTGAAAGTCCCAAATTATTCAGAAATCCACCCAAAAACCCCCTCAACTAAAAATAAATAAACTAACATTGTCTCAATCACGACTTCCTTCCCTTCCAAAAATTCACAACCAAAAGCTGCCCAATGACGTTTGTCTCGGCCAGGAACGTCCAACCAAGGAGTGTTGTTCATCCGCAGTTGAACATGTTAAAAAATTTTTTAAAAAGAATTCTTAAAATTCTTAAATAACCTTTCAAGCCAAGTTTTCAGGAGCATTTGTAGGCCATAGCAACAGCAAAAATTGTCCAAGGGGTTGTCGACATCAATTGGGCTCAAATCTAAAAGAAAATAATTGTTTGATGAAAAATAAAAAAGGAAACACCTCAATGTATTGAACCCGTGCCCACTCTCATATAATCGGCAACGCTACCAACTTAACCAACTGTCATTACGAACGGTCTTCAAATTTTTTTCTCTATACACAAATGTGAATTTTGAATTTGGGGGATCTAATTCTAGTTATTAAACTCAAAAATCCCGAAAAAGAACTAAAAACCTTTCAAACTTCATAAACTGCACATCTCCAAGGCAAGCACATGCAACCAAACAATTATCTTCTTGTTGAAGCGATGCACTTTGCCATTTGTCATCCGTGTTGTGGAATGTTGTAATTCAAACGTTCAGCCATTTCCTAAAAAAACAAATTTTATTTCATCCAGACAAAAAAGAAAAACCTGAACGAACTCTGCAGCCTCTCTTCTATACTTAAGTTTAGCAGCTGAATCGATTGACATTCTTGATGGAAGCATAGCAAGCTCATCTTCCGCAAAATACCATTTTGGTTTCTTTCCAAGTTTGCTAGATGATGGAACTGGTTCTGTCATCTTTCAAGATCCATACTGAAAACTCTAAAAATGTTTAAAACCCCTTCCCTCTACCAGACAATTGCTAAACACAATTTCTAATCGAATTTGGAAGAGGATTAATCACAGATGAAATCAGGGATTGTTTGTGGACAAAACTTGCTTGTGTAAAAAAGGGCAAAAACAAACCTTTTAATTTTTAAAAAGATTCCATGGACGTCCAAAAGTGCTTTGCTGATTTTTTTGCTTCTTCTTTGTTCTTGTTCTTCTTTTTGTTGATTTTTTTGTTTTTTTTGTTCTTCTTCTGTTGAGTTTTGGTTCTTCTTTTTGCTGATTTCTTCTTTTTGCTGATTTCTTCTTTGTTCTTTTTGATTTTTTGTTCTTCTTTTTGTTGATTTTTGAGTTTCTTCTTTTTTTTGTGTTTCTTCTTTGTTTGTTGCTGCTGGACAATTCTTAGAGGCATGGCACTAAATAAGTTAAATGAGTTTGTTTAGGCAGAGTTATAAACTAACCATAAAGCTGATGAGCAGTTATCAAAGTACCATAAAAGCAACAAGTCCCATGAGAATGCCAAACAGACCGCGCGACCCCACACAGAAGGAAGAACTCCAAACACTGCCAGGAGAATTCCATACAACAGCCGTTAGAACTGAAACAAAGCCAGACTCCAAACAAATGCCAGAAGAACTCCTACAAATGCCGAAGCAAATGCTAGAACATTCCCCCAACATCTGACGGAACATCCTTACATTGTCGCAGTTCTTTCGCACAGATGCTGGGTTATTCCCCCGAACATTGCCGGAACATTCCCCCACATAAACAGATGAAGAACTCCAAACACTGCCAGGAGAATTCCATACACCAGCCGTTAGAACTCCAACAAAGCCAGACTCCAAACAAATGCCAGAAGAACTCCTACAAATGCCGAAGCAAATGCTAGAACATTCCCCCAACATCTGACGGAACATCCTTACATTGTCGCAGTTCTTTCGCACAGATGCTGGGTTATTCCCCCGAACATTGCCGGAACATTCCCCCACATAAACAGATGAAGAACTCCAAACACTGCCAGGAGAATTCCATACACCAGCCGTTAGAACTGCAACAAAGCCAGACTCCAAACAAATGCCAGAAGAACTCCTACAAATGCCGAAGCAAATGCTAGAACATTCCCCCAACATCTGACGGAACATCCTTACATTGTCGCAGTTCTTTCGCACAGATGCTGGGTTATTCCCCCGAACATTGCCGGAACATTCCTCCACAAAACTAAAACCCGCGCAACACGCCTAAAGGACGCACGCAAGGACTTGTGCTTATGATGTTGGAGAAAAGAGCTCCACATCCGCCTCTACTGCTAAAAATATGATTTCATTTCAAAGTTAAAGAAAACTGAAACTAACGTTTTGAAACAAAACCAGATTGAAGAAGTCCAGATGCAGCAGCTTATTTGGTTGCAAAGCATACAAAGCACTGAATGAAAAAAAATAAAGAATGTTGTTGGATTACAACACAGCAAGTTTTGTCCACAAAATGGGAAAAGAGAGAGAGGGGGGAGTGAAGGGCAACTAAGATTGTGCCAAAAACAAGCCAATTGTGTTTGAAGAGACCACCATCATCATCGGTTATCTAACAGTTCTATAAAAATAAATAGGAGGCAAATTAATTAGTTGAATAAAAATTTAGGGCATTTTTCACCCGTGGCGTAACTGGTAGAGCGTTAGGCCCATTTGTTAAGAAAGGGAGTTCGAACTCCAACGGAAAACCAGTACAATAATCGAAAACTTTTCTCATACCCAAAAAATAGATGAAAACTCTAACTTGAGAGGACACACACGAAGGTAAAAATCCCCAATATAATCTAACCAAACAAATTTAAAAAAAACTAACTTGTTCAGCTTCAATAACCAATCCCTTCTCTTTCAAAGCATTAGCCAAATTGCAATAAGCGTCAGGAAAATTTTGTTGTAGTTCAATTGCCCTCTTGTATGTTTCTATCGCCAAATCCAAATGTCCTTGTTCGTAATAAACGCAAGCCAAGTTTCCATGTACGACTGCGTGGTTGGGATTTAATGCTAATGCACGGAGATAGCAAGAGACAGCTCTAAAAAATTGAAAAATATAAAAAATGAAACGGAATTGGGAAGAATGAGTCATGTTTTCATTTTTGATGGGCCTAACCAAGGTTGAGCGCTATTATCAAAAATCCCGTTCATAACCCCGTTCAGTGAAATTTTAAATAGTTCTTCAGGTGTGTTGGCAAAAGGAAAGATTGGTGACCAAGGTTTTAAAACTTTTCGCCGATTCGCTCTGTGTAGGCCAGACAGAACTCAATGCCCCCAACCGGTTAACATTGGAAAAATAAACAATAATCAAACCTATCAAATATTCTTGCTTCCTTCAACATTTCCCATATTGATCAAAGCATCAATAAAATTTGGATCAAGCGTAATTGCCTTTTCAAAGTGGTGCAATGCTAACCAAAGTCCTAAATCGCTTCGAACACAGTAAAGGTCCTAAATTAGGTAAAAGGAAAAATAAAAATATTCTAATAAAAAACTAACCGGATTGTATTGAAGAGCAGTCAAATATGCTTGAATTGCCTGTTCAAGATCGCCAACATAAACTAGAGCAGATGCCAAATTTATGTATCCATCGATGAAATCAGGTTTTAATCGCACAGCAATATGGTAATTTTTGAGAGCTTCAGTTAAATCACCCTTCTCTTTGTAAGCATTGCCCAAGTTGCTGTAAGCTTCTGCACATTCTGGATTTACTCTTATAGCAAGATTAGAGTATTGCATCGATCTGAAAAAAGAGGAGGTAATGGATTATTTATTCACGCGGATAGGAGGGTAAGAGCCTAACAATATGTCTAAATTCCCCCTGAATTTCTTATTAGGTTTTAGCAAGGGAAGAATTTCGATCGTATTCTCAGATGTGTCGCCCCAAAAAGAAAAGTCGGTTAACAAGGCTTCGTGAAGCTGAGGGAACCCCACTCGACTAGTCTAGTCATAAAAACTATTAAAACCTGATGCATCAACAGCTCCAACATTATTTGAAGAGACGACTATTATGTTTTGTGGGTTCAGAATTGTCCTTGCGTTGTTCCTTGTTGAATTTGAAGTTGGGGGATGATTTTATGGAAGCCTGAAGTAGTGTTTTGGAGTACCTTAAAGAAAAAATCTGTAGAATTGAAGTATTTTTCAAAATCCAAACCTTATCAAATGTACTAGTTGAAAAATTGTAGAGTTGTTTAGAAGAATTGGAGTAAGTTGAGGTGATTGAAAATGTTTTGAAATAAATAAAATGATGGAATGTTGAGCATGGACAATTACATAATTGTTGTTCTTTGAATAAATAATTCTTTTCACCTAAAATAAAAAGAATTGTTTGTCTTGTTGTGACAAAAATAAAAGTGGAAGGCTTGAGGAAAGAATCAATAACTACCCAACCATCTCCGTTAATTAACTCTTTGTTGTTGTTTCACATTGGTTATTGATTATTGATTTTCTCAGCGGACTTTGCTCAGACATGCAAAACGCGTGGTGGTTAGAGAAAAAGAATTTGCATTTCCTCACTCTTCCGTGAGTGAAAAATAAATTTCTCTTCTCTAACCAGTACGCGTCTTAGCTTCGCTGAGCAAAGTCCGCCAAAAATCAATAACAGAAGAGAGAAAGAGGAAAAATAAGAGATGGGCGATAAATTGATACTCTCTCCCTAAAGGGAGAAGTGGGGTTGCCGTTGTAATTAGGGTTGCCGTTTCGAATTAGGCCGTCGTTCGAGTCATTTTTTCGGGCCTTATTTTTCCGGGAAAGAAATCGAAGCCGAATTCGATCTTTCGAACCAGACCGGACCGGCAGCTCTAGATCTAATGATAAGACTAGCCTAGTGAATACTTTCCCGAATTTGTCGGGATTGAAGACTAAAACCCAGGAAACATGTAAATTTTGGGCAGAATACGTATCAGGGAAGTCATCTGAACCCGAACTTTTCCCGATCCTAAGAGAGTTTAGAAAATCCCAATTCTTTCCTCAACCTGTGCCATCCCCACTAGTTACAACCATAAAAACAACAAAAAAATAATCTGTTAAAAAACAGTTGTAAAAGCAAAAAAAATTTTAAGAGAAATAACAATTTTTATAAAATTAATAATAAATAAATATGTAATAATTTTTTAACAACAAAAATAGAGGCCGAACACGTACAAGATATCTCGAAAAATCTCGATCCCAATGACCAAGATTAAAAAAATAAGAGGAATGAAACTTTAAAAGAATCGAAAAACCCCGACCCAAATAATCAAGATTTTTGTTTAAGATCTCGTCTCGATCCGGTCTCTAATACAAATAATTTAGAAAATTAACAAATTAATTAAAAATAATTTAAAAATAACCAACAACAACTTCTTAAAAAACATCCTTCAACCATCATTTTGGGTGGTTTCATTTTGTGCTTCTTTTGCCTTCTTTGCCTCCTCCTCCTTCTTGAACAGCTTCCTCTTCCGTTGTGGGAGTCGTCGTTTACGTTCTGGTGGCTGAAAATAAAAGGGAAAAATAAATGAAACAAAAATTTTTTTACAAAACCTCATCATTAGCATTTTGTCCTTCAACCACATTATTATTATTAATTTGAGAAGTTGAAGGTTGTTGTTCTTCTTCTTGCAGCATTGTAGACGTTTGAATTGTAGACGTTTGAAGTGCAGGCTGAAAGAGAAAAAAAGAATTTTAGTTTCAACAACAACGAGGGGTGAAGGTTGCCCCAATAAGGGAGGATTTTGTTTTAACAAAGAGGACAGCGTTTGGAAAAATCTTCCCCGTTGTTTTAGCTTCCCCTGAAATCACCCCCTGGTTATGCCTTTGGTAGCAAAAAACATCCCCTACCCCAAAAACACTGAAAATAAAAGGGAAAATAAATTGAAAGAAAAATTTTTTGAAAAAACCTCATCATTAGCATTTTGTCCCTCAACCACATTAGTAATTTGAGAAGTTGGAGGTTGTTGTTCTTCTTGAATCATTGTAGACGATTGAAGTGCTGGCTGAAAGAAAAAAAATATTTCTTTGTTTCAACAAGTGTTGCTTCAGCAACGGGTTTGTTGTCCCAACAAGGGAGGATATTGTTTCAACAGAGGGAATTCTCTGTCGTTGAAGCTTTAGCTTCCCCTGAAATCCTCCAGATTACGACCTTGGGTAGCAAAAAAACATTCCCTCCCTCCAAAAACAAACCCATCCCCTTAAAAATACATTTTTCCTTTAGTCTTTTAATGTCTTTAGTAATGACTTTATTCCGAAAACATTTTTCAATACAAAAAACCCCAATTAAAAAAAACTCAAAAACCTCATCAGTTTGAGTGGCAGATGCAGAAGATGAAGAAATTTGTTGTTGTTCTTGTTGTGTAATGGAAGTAGGAGTAGACGGCTGAAGATGTGGCTGAATAAAAAAAATCAAATATTTAAATGTTTTTGTTCCAACAATGGGGAAGATTTTGTTTCAAGAGGAAAGCGTTTCGGTCGTGAAAACCCTTCACCGTTGTTTTAGCTCCCCCTGAAATCACCTCTGGGTACCCCCTTGGGTGGAAAAAACATCCTTCCCACCAAGATAATCCGATCCCCTTAAAACCGCATTTTTCCTTTATTAGTCTTTTACAGTCATTAGTAATGACTTTATTCAGAAAATATTTTTCAATGTAGAAATCCCCCAATTAAAAAAAATAAAAATAACCTCAGTGACTTGGTTATTTTCCCCATTCTCCTCTCCTCCATTTTCCTCTTCATTCTCCTCTACTTGAGTAGTTTTCAACTCCCCCTCTTCCATTGAACCATCACCTCCTTCTTCTTCCTCATTATTAATTTCTTCTTCCTCCTCCTCCTGTTGTTGCTGGATTGCAGGCATATTTAAAGGAGGGTTTAAAGGAGGGTCGAAAGTATGGTAGGTTAATCGGAAATTCGTTCTAAGTCTAAAAGAAAAGGATAAAGTTAAGTAAAAAAAAGTAAGCTTAGTACAATGGAAGTGTTTTGGTAAGTACGTTGAATTGATCCTTCATAAGTTTCATTCGTTGCGTTGCCGCCAGACAACGCGCTTCCATTTCCTTCAATTCATCTTCAGCCTTGAGAGCCCGAGCAGTCATTTCCTTCAATTCATCTTCAGCCTTGAGAGCCCGAGCAGTCAATTCTTCTTCCAATTTAGCACAGTTGTTGCAGGTAGACATTTTGAATTTTAAAAAATTTTAAAAAATCTTTAAAAATCTTTGGGGATTGAGCACTAAAATTAAGATTAAAAAATAAAATAAATATATAATCTGTCAAAATAAACAGATAAAAATCAAAATATTAAAAAAAGGATATATTTTTATAGGCAAAATAACAATTTTTTTAAATATTTTCTGAGAATAAAATTAGGGAGAGCAAGACAACAGTAAAAAATAGATATATAACAATTACTCAACAAAAAATAATCAGAGAGAATTTTGATGAAAAGGGACTTGCTTTTTGGATAAATCCAACTTGGATATATAAAGTTAAGCTTAACAGACACATCGTCTACTTTTACATAATCCCCCAAATGCAACCCAATTTAAAGACAAATCTTTTTTTAAATTTAGTTGGTAAATGAGGCCCCCCGGCTAAGGGCTACTTCACCAACACCTTAATCTTGCCTCAAAAAAGACCCTCAAAAATTTTTTTCTGATCCAAGGATCTAAGTAAAAGTAAGATCCCAAAACAGTACACAATTCAGTTAAAGACAAAATTTTTAAAATTATTTAAAAAAACCATAACCATCCAACAGCAAAGCTCCTTTTCATCATCATCAATTAATTAAACTTCAACATAAAAATCTTCTAGAAGAGGCATTGTTTGTGTGTAATTATATAAACTTCTCTTGATCTAACAAATAGGTGAAGATTTAATTGAATGATTTTTTGTTGCTGTTGCTGCTGCTCTAGAAGATCTCGTTTTCTTCTTTAATTTGAAGCACCGGTGGTGAAGGAGGCGCATGCAATTGCTTTTGCAATTTCAACCACTTTCGTTCTCGGCTGCCGACATTATTCTAAAAATTGTTAATTTTAATAGAATTTTTTTAAAAGTTTAATACCCTCCCACGATTCCTCTTCTTCTTCTTCGGCTGAAAATAAAAGGAAAAATAAATGAGAAACAAAAATTTTAAAAAACTTGCCTTCACAGCCCGAGCAGTCATTTCCTTCAATTCATCCTCAGCCTTCAGAGCCCGAGCAGTCATTGCCTTCAAATCCTTTTCCAATTTACCGCAGTTGTAGCAGGTAGACATTTCGAATTTTAAAAAATTTTAAAAAATCTTTAAAAATCTTTGGGGATTGAGGACTACTATTAAAATAATTAAGATTAAAAAAATAAATAATCTGTTAAAATAAACAGATAACAATCAAAATATTAAAAAAAGAGAGATCTTTTTTAATAGTAAAAATAACAAATTTTTTTTATATTTTCTGAGGATAAAATTAGGGAGAGCAAGACAAGAGTAAAAATAGATATATAACAATTACTCAACAAAAAATAATCAAAGAGAGAGAGAAGATTTTAATAGAGAGAAAGAAATGTCACAAAAAAATTTTTTTGATGAAAAGGAACTTGCTTTTTTGGATAAATCCAAATTGGATACACAAGGTTAATCTTAACAGACACACCTCTCTCACTTTTACATAACTCCCAAAATTCAACTCAATTTAAATTTTAAAAATTTTTTAAATTTGGTTGGTCATTGAGGCTCCCTTGGCTACGGGCTACTCCCAAAACCTCAATTCTACCTCAAAAAACCCTTCAAAAATTTTTTCAGATCTAAGGATGTATGTAAAAGTAAAATCATCCTAACAGTACACAATTCAGTTAAAGACAACATTTTTAAATTAAAAAAAACCATGGCCATCCAACAACATTTCCAACAAACAAAGCTCCTTTTTCATCATCATCAATTAAATTCCAAAGTAAATTTTCTAGATGAGGCATGTTTGTGTGTAATTGTATAAATTTCTCTTGATCTAACAAATAGGCGAAGATTTAATTGAATGATTTTTTGTTGTTGTTGCTGCTGCTGATGATGTTGCTGCTGTTGTTGATGACTGTGATTTATGTGTTGTTGTTGTATTATTTATCCCGTTTTCTTTTTTAATTTGAAGCACCGGTGGTGAAGGAGGTGGAGGCAATTGTGCTATAGATTTAGCCATTATTGGTCCATTCTTCGATTTTTGAATAAATCTTCGGGCATGGCAGTCTTTGCATTCTTTGTAGACACGTGTAAATTCATCAGTTAATTCTGAAAAAAAAATAAATTAAAAAAAAATAAAAAAAAAGAAACAAACTATTTAAAAGTTCAACAGTCATGTCTGGGTCTATAGAGTTGAACCAAGGGCAGTCATCGGTCTGAGGGATCTGAAAAGGTAATACAAATTAATAAAAATTTGAAATTAATGGAAGGCAAGTTAACTATCTAATGTAAGAATAAACAAGTCTCATCAATTGTCAGATATTAAAATTAAAGCACGAGGTGGAGGAACAAACTTTGGGGTCAATCCCCTACTCCAAAACCGATCCCAACTTCTTAAAAGTGCATTTTTTCTTTAGTCTATCTTGTAGTAATGACTGTGTCGGTCAAGTACTAATGACTCTTCGCGGTCAATACCTGACCGCATCACGAAAAAAGAAACAACCCGAAGCTCATGTCATCCTTACCATCAAAATCCGTATCTACAGATACCCCTGATTGAGAACAGAAAGGGAGAATTGAATTTCTTCCCTCGAGGTCAATTAAAATAAGAACAAATTTAAGAGACTTTGTGATCTACCTATTGACTTTAAGATTAAACTCAAAACCCTAAAACACTTTAAAAAAATCTTCCAAACCTCATAATCTGCCCAGCTACAAGCCAAATAAATGCAAACACAAGCAATTGTCCTCTCATTGAAGCGAATGCACCAATTTGTCAGTTGAATGCTTCAAAATTATTAACCCAATCCAAAACAAATATATGGTTTAAAAAACTCACATATCTGTTGCGAACCAATAAGCACACTCGGTCAATTTTTGGCTTTCTAAAAAGTTGCAAATTAAAAATAAGCAAAAAAGAACAAACAAACCTTGTTTGAATTTCTTCATATTTATAATAATAATAGGATGAGGAAGGTCAACATGAAGCTCAAAGCCTAAAAAAAAGTTTGGTTAGTTATAGATTGAAAAAGATTGCTTCAATATGGGGTCATAATGTTGGGTTAAAGAGATCGAGTTAGGTTTGGGCCAATGCCCAGATTTTCCTAGAATATAAACTAAGGGATCCTTCTCAAGTCAGTGGATTGAAAAACTAGGAACAGGGTCAACACACCCTATACATTCAACAAAGATATCTTCAATATGAATCCTAATGTTGGCTTGTAGGGATAAAGTTTGCCATGCACCGGTGCCTAGATCTCTCTTAAATCATAGACAAAGGACTAGACCCAAGTCAATAGATTAGAAATCGATCCAGATCTCAAAGCCATAACTACACTGAACAAGTCTGTCTGGGCCACTAACACACACGTTGTCTGGGCCACTAAAGAAAACCAAGACAAGGGGCAAGATCAGGAGTTTCCCCATGATTAACATTCATTAAAATCCAATCCATCTTTACTCATTTAAAAAAATTAACAAACCAATCGTCTGCAGCAGAATGCCCTCCAGGTAGACTAGTAGTTGCGCGCCGTTCTTTCTCGCCTAAAAAAATTTTGTTCCTCGCATAGAACAAATGAAGTGTGTAAGCCAAATTTTTTTTCATCAAATAACTGACTGCTTCGTTAAAAGGCGGCTGCACTTCTGCTTTCCTGAACTTCAACCTGAACCAAACTTCCACCACGTGCTCAAGCTTCCTGGGGCATTCTTCGCTTTTGCTGGCCAAAAAGAGACACGCTGCTGCAACCTCCTGTAAAATGATTTTTTTAAAGAAGAAAGTTGAAAAGGAAAAGCATACTTTGTACATATTGAAGAAGGCAAATGCATGAACGGTGAAGAATCTGTGCATGTGGATCATTGCAATGCAGATGCAATTCTGATTGCTGAAAAAGAAATGAAAAGTTGAAGTGGTCATAGAATAAAGGGTAATCCTGCAGAATCTGGGATCCACTTTTAAAAACCTTAAAAATCATTATTTTTTTCTGAAAATCATTTTATATAGGTAATCGACCATGCTGAGTCCGAATCTGAGCTTAGAATTTGCTTATTTCGAACCCCTGACCTGAATTCGACCAAGTCGAATATAGGGGTATAATTTCGAAATTAAAAATTTAAGGCTAATCTGACTCAACTTTTCGAGCTGAGTCGAATGCCACCGAAATCATCGCGATCCGACTCCATAGAGCCGAGTTACAGACCCCAGAAATTAGAAAATTTTTGGGGTCAAAAAATTCGAATATACAAATAATAGCTCATTCGAAAGGGCTCGACGAGCTGAGTTGAATGACACCAAAATCAGCCTGATTGGGTGATTCTTGACTAAGTTATGACCAACGGAATCTTCGCTGGAAAAAATGCGGGCATATACAAAAGCGACCCAAAATCAAGCATATGATAAAAAATCATAGATAAAATGTCATATTTGACAAAATCTGATATAAGATTCGGACTCAGCATAGTCGATTACCTATATAAAATGATTTTCAGAAAAAAATAATGATTCTTAAGGTTTTTAAAAGTGGATCCCAGATTCTGCAGGATTACCGAATAAAGGATTTAAGCAAGTCAGTGAGTCAACAGACAATATTGACCATCGACCCAAGGTAAGGAGGGTCAAGAAGTTTATAAGGGCAAGCCTTCAGTAAGGGAAAGAGAAACCGACTCAAAATGTCCAAAAGACCTTGGATCTTTGGTCAAGGCCTGGTGGACCTTGGCTCCAAGCAGGGGTGGGCGCAAGAGGGAATCGTGAAAAACGCAAAACGCAACGCAAGGCCAAAAATCAACGCAAAACGCAAAAAACGCAAAACGCAAAACGCAAGAACGCAAAATTGGGAAAAAAATTTTAAAATTAAGTATTAACCATTTTTCAGTTAAAAATTAAAGTTTACTTTAACTCAGCTAGTCCTACTTGATTTTTTAATACATGTAAGTTGATTGGGTAATGATTTGGGGTGATATCGGGGATAAAAGGGGATTATGAAGGATATCAGAAGATTTAGAGTTATCAAGGTGTTTAACGAAGTAGCCTAAGGAAGTATCTCATTTGGGAGGCATTTGTCCCATTTTTTGCCTTTTCTTAAAATGGAAGAAATTTGGCTTCTTTGCCTTCAAATTTCATAAAATTTCCGGGGGCTGCTGGTATCACCGAAAAGGGGGGTTTGCCTCCTCTTTTTGCCCCCTTTTGGCCAACTTCGCCCCCTTTTAGAGAGGTTTTGCCCCTTTTGGTGATTTGGAAATTTACTCTGATCAGGGGTTGAAAATATATATGTTTACTAATTTAAAAGTATGCAGAATGATTTGAATGATCTTATATCTTCATCATATCCTCTTAGCCACTCGACTTATTTTTCACAATCAATTAATATCTTCACGAGATTGAGGGATTCCCAGACATCCCTACAAATCCCCGATATCTTTTTAAATCTAATTAAATCCCAGTAAATGGACCGATATTCTTATATCCTTTCAGGTCAACTTATCTTTCACTTAAACACTTTTGACCCTTCTTCAATTTTAGCGCCGCAGGCGAAAATTTTGAGAATTTTGGAGATCAAGAAGCCAAATTTCTTCCTTTTCCTGCGCCGCAGGCGAAAATTTTAGAGAATTTTGGAAGGCCAAGACGCCAGATTTCTTCAATTTTGTCCTCAAATTGAGTATAATTTTTTCGTTTTTTTGCGTTAATTTGGGCCAATTTTACGCAAAACGCAACGCAAGGCCAAAAATCAACGCAAAACGCAAAAAACGCAAAACGCAATGCGCCCACCCCTGGCTCCAAGGCAAAGCAAAGACAACATTCCTGGACAAAGACAACGTATCCTTTGACCCGAGGACAAGGTACTTGGCTAATCTTAAATGATGAAAAGAGGAAGTGGCTAAACTACAGTTTCCGTACCAGGCTCAGAATTGAACGATTTATATGTCATTCGAAAGAGCTCGTCGAGCTGAGTCGAATGACACCAAAATTTTTCAGCGGAAAAAATTCTGAGCCGAGTTACAGACCACTAAAGTTCAAAAAACCATAGGGGGGACCAAGCTGTTTTCTGGAGGTGAAAAATTCGAATATGCAAATTATACCTCATTCGAAAGAGCTCATCGAGCTGAGTCGAATGACACCAAAATCAATGAAATCAGAATTGATTTGACAAAGTAATGCTCGTTTGTTTTAGCTCCTTACCTTTGTTCTCCGTGGATGTTCTTGCTGCTGCGAAGGAAGCTGGCATGCCCATCACAGCGATAATTGGAATAGGATTAAGTTACAAGCCCAGACCCAGAGCCCGTAGACTCCCCGCGAGGCGCGTGCCGCAAAACTCCGCGCGAAGCGCGGAGTTTTGCACAAGCGCCTCGCCGTCGCCCCATAGGTTTACGTTGTTAGTTTTTTTGTCATAACTTTGAACAAACTTGACCAATCACGGCGATTTTGGTGTCATTCGACTCGGCTTGAAGAGCTCTTTCAAATGAGCTATTAATTGCATATTCAAATTTTTCACCCCAAAAATCAGCTTGGTCCCCCCTATGGTTTTTCGATTTTCGGGGGCCTGTAACTCGGCTCAGAATTTTTTCCGCTGAATAATTTTGGTGTCGTTCGACTCAGCTCGACGAGCTCTTTCGAATGACATATAAATCGTCCAATTCTGAGCCTGGTACGGAAACTGTAGTTAGGCCGAGGAAGTAACTAAAGCAACAGATCTCTGAACTGAATGCTAAATAATTGGAAGGTTACATAGGACACTCGGGCCAAAGGCCATTGGTTCGATGACCAAGGTCCTTGGGACCATAGCTTCCAAGGTGGACTGAGGACAAGACCAAAGGCCAATGGTTCGATGACCAAGGTCCTTGGGACCATAGCTTCCAAGGTGGACTGAGGACAAGACCAAAGGCCAATGGTTCGATGACCAAGGTCCTTGGGACCATAGCTTCCAAGGTGGACTGAGGACAAGACCAAAGGCCATTGGTTCGATGACCAAGGTCCTTGGGCCCATAGTTTCCAAGGTGGACTGAGAACAAGACCAAAGGGTGGACATCCGACACATCGGATGTCCTCTAAGGTGGACATCCGATGTGGACTAGACTCCCAGGTCAGATCCATGACCTCCCAGGTCAGACCCAAGGTAAGGTCCCTGGGACAAGACACAAAGCCAAAAGGAATTGGTGGACACTGACCTATTGATTAAGGACAAGACTCTAAGCCAGAGGTCATTGGGGGGACCCCAACCTCTAAGGTGAACAAGGGCAAGGTCCTTGAGACGAGGCTAAATGCCGAAGGTCCTTGGACCTTTAGAAACGACTAATTTCGATTACTCAAAGATAAACACAAACATTTGTCCTCTGTGTTGCGGAATGTTGTGGTTCAACCGCTCAGCCATCTCCTAAAAAACAAAATTTCATTTCATCCAAACAAACAAACAAAAAACCTGAATGAACTCTGCAGCCTCTCTTCTATATTTGAGTTCAGCAGCCGAATCCATTGACATTCTAGATGGAAGCCTCGCAAGCTCATCGTCCGCGAAATACCATTTTGGTTTCTTTCCCAGTTTGCTAGATGATGGAACTGGTTCTGTCATCTTTCAAATAAGATCTATAAATTAGGGAATAATGAAATTAGTTGATTAAAGATTATCAAAAGACAAAAGGAAGGAGTAAGTAAATATGAAATGGATAATGTAGGAAGTCCAATTTGGGTAGAATTAAAGTCAAAGGCCAATGGTAGTGGACCATGACTTCCATAATGGACTAAGGACAAGACACTAGGACAAAAGTCAGTGGTGAACCCCGACCTTTAAGGTTGAATAAAGGCTAAGAAAGGTATCATATTGGGGGACGAACTTAGTTAATGATTGATTATTAAATGGAAAAAAGGGTAGAAGAAGTAAATAAAAAAATGGAAAGTCAATGTAAATTAAAAATGAAAATCTGTTTTGTGGGGAGAATTAAAAATAAGGAAGAATAAAATAAATTAGAGGATGAACTTGGGTTAATCAAAAATTATTGGAAGCAAAAAAAAGGCATAGGAAGTAAATAAGGGAAAATTAGTTGTCGCAAAAACATGAAAAAGAAAGGAAGTATTATTAATTTGTTCGTGGAAAATTAACAAAAAAAAGACACGAATACATGGCAAGTTTCAAAAGTTATTCTTGGAAGGGATTGGACAAATTCCAAAAGAAAGGTTGGAACGCTGATTTGTCTTTCTGCCAGACACGACATTTTGTCAAACCACATTTTGCCAATAAGGGAAAAATAAACATTTTGACATCAAATCTTTTGACAAAACGGTGGATTTTAGCCTTTCTGGCAAAATGTGTTTTGGCAAAAGATGGAGAAAGGCGCAAAGCGCAGACAAAAAGGTGTACAATTTCTCAGAAGTTACATCGTGACTATAAAATTCTTTTTCTCTGCTCATAATGCAAACATTGCTTCTCACATTTTAATTCTTTTCTCTAATTCTCTATCTCTAACTATTTTACTAGTTATCTTTCTATAATCCTACATATGTTAGACAAAACAAAGTAAATTTTAACAGACAAAATGAAATCACACACACACACACTCTCTCTCACGCGTACATATTCTTTGTTCTTTCAATTTGCTCTTTGTGTGTTTACATATTCGTCTGTCTCTTAATTTATCGATTGGAAATTCAATAAATTAGTACCACCCTCCCTCTCGTATTCTATAAAGTCTGTCACATTCCCGTTCATTTTGGTGTTTGATTTTTAATGCTTGACTACCTGTTTTTAAGCCTTTCTTTCAATTAATTTTACCCAATTTTTATAGATTTTCGTAGGATTTGATGGATAATGGATTCCAATTCTTCTAAACAACTCTACAATTTTTCAACGAGTACATTCGATAAGGTATGGAATTTTGTGGAAAACTTCAATTTTATCAATTTTTCTTTAAGGTACTCCAAAACACCACGTCAGGCTCCCATAAAATCATCCCCCAACTCCAAATACAACAAGGAACGAGTTCGGCAATTTTAACGCAAGGACAAATTTTGAACCCACAAAACATTATAGTCGTCTCATCAAATACTGTTGGAGCTGTTGATGCTTCAGGTTTTTAAAAGTTTTTATAAGTAGACCAGTAGAGTGATGTTCCCTCTGCTCATGTCAGCAGAACCTTGTTGACTGACTTTTCCTTTTGTGGAACACCTGAAATTCTACCAAAAGTCTGTCGTTGATCGAGACTGTTTTTAAATTATTCCCTTCTTTTTTAACAGCTAGTAGAGTGGGGTCCCCTCTGCTCATTGTCAGCAAAACCTTGTTAACCGACCTTTCCTTTTGGGGTAACACGCCTGAAAATTAGACCGAAAAGTCTGTCGGTTAACGGGGCTAATCCGTGTTTTTTAAATTATTTCCTTCTTTTTTAACAGCTTTGCTCAGTATTGCTCATAAAGAATACCAAGCTGGAAACTACGCAAAGGCTGAACAACATTGTTTAGCTCTACTTCAACAAAATTCACACAATATTGGTGTGCTTCTATTACTGTCTTCTATTGCTTTTCAACAGAAAAATTATGAAAGGTATTTTTAATATTTGCAATTTTTAATTTTTAAATAGTTTTACGTTCGTTATGATAAATTTTTTGATGAGTCAGTCTGGTTAAAAGACACGACATTTTTGTTTACCAAACTTGACATTTGGGCTTCCTTTTGTTTTTTTTGGACTTCTTGTTAAAAGCTAATAGAAAATTCAGGGGGACTTCAGACCTACAAGGAAAGGTTGCGAGGTGTCCGACCTAAAAATAGTCAAGACCGGGCTCATTCGATAGAGAATGTGCCCTTTCTAGCAAGGATTTTGTGCCGTTTTTGCTCTTTTTTTGATCTGGCCAAGATATGGCCCTCCTAAATACCTTGCTGAAATCTAATAGAAAATTTAGGGGGAATTTAGACTTATTGTTAGGCTCTTACTCTCCTATCCGCGTGAAAAAATAAACCATACTTCCCCTATTTTTAGATCGATGCAATACTCCAATCTTGCTATAAGAGTAAATCCAGAATGTGCTGAAGCTTACAGCAACTTGGGCAATGCATACAAAGAGAAGGGTGATTTGACTGAAGCTCTAAAAAATTACCATATTGCTGTGCGTTTAAAACCTGATTTTATCGATGGATACATAAATTTGGCATCTGCTCTGGTGTATGTTGGCGATCTTGAACAGGCAATTCAAGCATATTTGACTGCTCTTCAATACAATCCGGTTTGTTTTTTAACAAAATTTTTTTTATCTTTCCTTTTACCTAATTTAGGATCTGTACTGTGTCCGAAGCGATTTAGGCAATCTTTTCAAGGTAAAAATTTATTTAAGAAAATTTTTTTAATTTAAAATGTTTTCCAGGCAATGAATCGTTTTGAAGAAGCAAAGGTTTATTTTTACCTATTTTACTTGTTAAAATTCAATAGAGAATGACAAAAGGCATAAAGAGCGAGATGCTAAAGGCGTCGACAAATATCTTAATTTTTTTAAATTTCTCCCGATTTTTTACTCTTTTATTTTTAGGTCTGTTACCTTAAAGCTATTGAAATGCAACCCCATTTTGCTGTGAGTTTTATTTTTTGTCAAATTTTTAATTTCAATCTTTCGTTCAGGTTGCTTGGTCAAATATGGGCTGTGTTTTTAATGCGCAAGGTATTTTGCCTTTTTATTTTTAAGTTGAATCAATCTTTAGGAGAACTCTGGTTAGCATTGCACCACTTTGAGAAGGCAATTACGCTTGATCCCAATTTTATTGATGCTCTAATTAATATGGGAAATGTGTTGAAGGAAGCACGAATATTTGATAGGTTCGATTGTTTATTTTTCCCGTGTTAACCGGTTGGGGGCATTGAGTTCTGGCTCGCCCACACAGGGAGAATCGGCGAAAAGTCTGCCGACAAAAACTGTTGAAACCTTGTTAACCGATCTTTTCTATTTCTAACGTATTATTGAACGTGTCACTGAGCGGGATTTTTGATAATAGCGCTCAACTTTGGTTATCTCACCAAGAATGAACCCATGACTCATTTTTCCCAACCTCGTTTCATTTTTTATATTTTTCAATTTTTTAGAGCTGTCTCTTGTTATCTACGTGCATTAGCTCTAAATCCCAACCACGCAGTTGTCCATGGAAATCTAGCTTGTGTTTATTATGAGCAAGGACATTTGGATTTGGCGATAGAAACTTACAAAAGGGCAATTGAACTACAACAAAATTTCCCGGATGCTTATTGCAATCTGGCTAATGCATTGAAAGAGAAGGGATTGGTTATTGAAGCGGAACAAGCTTATAATACTGGTTGGTTTTTTTGATTGTTTTTTGAATGTGGTTGGGCATTTGGGCAAGGATACGGGTCCTCATAGATTTATTCTGTCTCCTAGATTTTCTTGGAGCGTCAGAAAATTTTTTAGTTTTTAAAATTAATTTTCATGTTTCAGCATTAACTCTGTGCCCAAATCATGCTGATTCTTTAAACAATTTGGCAAATATAAAACGTGAGCAAGGAAAGATTGAAGAAGCAACTCGACTTTATTTGGAAGCTTTGAAGGTTTATTAATTTTTTATTGAAACATTTAATTTTGTTATTTTAGATTTATCCTGAATTTGCAGCTGCACATAGCAATTTGGCTTCAATTTTACAACAGCAAGGTTTGTTTTTGTTTTATGGTGATTTTTTATACCGTAGAATTTTCTTTCTTGATTTATTGGTTCTTTCTCATGATTCGAACGGCTAACCAAAAGCCCTTTTTTTTTCGGCTAAACCAAAATCGATCGAAACTTTGAAAACCCGACCTGATCCGATATCTTTCCTGGCCAGTCCGAACCTTGGTACCTTATTCAAGATTCTTTCCTGGCTAAACTAGAATCAAGAGAAACTTTGAAAACCCCGGCCCTAAACCTGATCTGATATGTTTCCTGACCGGCCCGAACCTTGATACTTTATTCTAAATTTTTATAATTTTCTTTTTTACAAAATAATTTTGTATAGGTCGTTTGCAAGATGCAATTGAACATTACAAGGAAGCAATAAGAATTTCACCAACATTTGCGGATGCTTATTCAAATATGGGAAATACTTTAAAAGAAATGGGTGATGTTAATGGAGCATTACAATGTTATACTCGTGCAATTCAAATTAATCCAGCATTTGCTGATGCACAAAGTAATTTGGCTAGTATTCATAAAGATGCTGGAAATATACCTGAGGCGATTCAAAGGTAGGGTATTTTTTAATTTGGGGATTTTCTGTGTGTCTTTGGGTTAAAAAATGAGCGTATACATAAAAGACGTGAGAGTTAAAATTGGTGAAAAATTGGAATTTATAGGGTGTGTCCCGATTGTTGTTGGATCTGGAAATGGTTAGAACGAAAGTTTTTATTTTGTCCTTTAAAATGATAAATGTCATTGTTTATCTAACAAACAAAAATAATAAATATTTTTTCCTTTTTTAAATTTCCCACGACATTTTATACTCTTTTCTCACTTGACTTTCTTATATCCGAGTGAAAACAAGAGTTATTTTGCATATAAAATTTTTATTCTTTAAAATTTATTTTATTATTTTTTTTTCAGTTACTCTACAGCATTGAAACTTAAAAGTGATTTCCCAGATGCTTTTTGCAATTTAGCTCATTGTCTACAAATTATTTGTGATTGGTATTTTTATAATTTTTATAAAATATTTTCATTAATTTTCTTTTTTCTAGGACTGATTACAATTCTCGAATGAAAAAATTGGTTACTATTGTTGAGGATCAACTTCAAAAAAAGTTCTTTTGAATTTTTGTCAGATTAAAAATTTTTTCTAATTAGGCGTCTTCCTTCTGTTCATCCCCATCATTCCATGTTATACCCACTCTCCCATGAGCAGAGAAAGGTTTTAAAATTAAAAATTTTTTTTTTAATTTTTCAAAAATTTTTAGGCAATTGCAAGTCGTCATGCACAATTGTGTATAGAAAAAATTCAAGTACTTCACAAACCTCCATACAACTTTTCTGATCGTTTCAATATTCGTATGGGAAAAAATTGTCGTCTTAAAATTGGATATGTTTCTTCTGATTTTGGTTTATTTTTTTTTTTAATTTCAGAAAAGTTCTTTTCCTTTAAAGGAAATCATCCAACAAGTCATTTAATGCAATCAATTCCTGGTATGCATGATCGTTCACGTGTTGAAGTTTTTTGTTATGCTTTGTCACCAAATGACAACACAAATTTTCGTCAAAAAATAATGCAAGAAAGTGAACATTTTATTGATCTATCTTCGGTTTGTTTTGAGTTTTTTAATTAAAAATTATTTTTTTTTTGATAGATGCCTTGTAATGGAACAGCTGCAGATAGAATAAATAAAGATGGAATTCATGTTCTTATAGTAAGAAAAATTTTTTTTTGATTTTTGTAATTAAAATTTATTTTTAGAATATGAATGGATACACAAAAGGTGCACGTAATGAAATTTTTGCGTTGAGACCGGCACCGATTCAGGTCACTTGAAAAATTTTTTAAGTTTTATTTTTCAAATTTATTTTTCTTCAGGTTATGTGGCTAGGCTATCCCGGAACTTCTGGAGCACCTTTTATGGACTACATTATTACTGATGCTATTAGTATAAAATTATTTTTTCTCTCTTAAAATTTGTTTTTTTATAGCTTCCCCAATTGAACTAGCCCATGCATACAGCGAGAAATTGGCATATATGCCTCATACATTTTTTATTGGAGGTATGAATTTATTCTTCAAAAAAAAATTTCTTTTGACCATTTTATAGATCATGTTCATATGTTGGCACATTTAACTGAAAGAGTAATTGTAAAAGATAAAGATGGTCAACTCCCTGAACGTGACTGTCTTACAGTTGTAAATGCAACACAAAATGCCCTTCAACCATTACTTTCTAGTTCTGCATGTGAAGTTAAGGTGAGATTTTATAGGTTTTAAATGATTCTGAAACTGACACGTGAAGGTTACTTATGGGTGGGGAAGCTGAAAAATGTCGATTTTCTATTTTGGGGTTCCTTTCCCATTCGAAACTTGGAACTTATTTTTATTTAAAATTTTTTTCAAAGACATTTGTCCGCGAAGCTGAAGTTCAACATGGACCAGAAAGAGAATTTAAAATGACAGAAGTTGTTGTCCCCGTAGTTGAAGTTACGTCAACAGAGCCTTTGTCACAAATGATTGGAAATGGTTTAATTGCTGCAAATGTTAGCGGCGTCCCTATACAAAATGGATTAACTACATTAAATACACATGTAAAAGCTGCTACTGGAGAGGAAATTCCTCAAACAATTTTGGTAGGATTTTAATGTTACAGAGTTGAAATACACCTTGAAAAGCAATCAGAATTAGTTACAGAATTTCTTAAATTTTTTTCCTAATTCTGATTTTTCTGTTCAGATTTTTTCTGATTTTTATGGATATTCTGATTTTGATCCAATTCTGATAGTTTAGAGAATTTTGATTTTATTTTGTTAAAAACTCTGATTTTTAAAAATTTTTTCTATTCAACAGGTTACAAGCCGTCAACAATATGGACTACCTGATGATGCAATTATTTTCTGTAATTTTAATCAACTTTATAAAATTGACCCACCAACGCTTGAAATGTGGTGTGAAATACTTAAACAGGTTGTTGCTTATTTTTTATTTGAAAAAATTTTTAAAATTAGGTACCAAATTCGGTCCTCTGGCTTCTACGCTTCCCTTATCATGGTGAACAACATGTTATTAGGTTTTGTGCCCAAAGAGGAATTAATACAAAGAAAATTATTTTTTCAAATGTTGCTGCTAAAGGTTACCTTTTTTATTTTTAATCGAAAAAATTTTTGGGAATTTTTTTTTGAAAATTTTTGAAATTTTTTTTTGAAAATTTTCGAAAAAAAAATTTTGGAAAATTTTTTAAAATTTTTTTGAAAATTTTTGAAAAAAAATTTTCAAAAAAATTTTAAAAAATTTTCTTTTGAATTTTACTTCTCACAATTAAACTATTAATTTTTTTATTTTAAGAGGAACATGTACGAAGAGGTCAACTAGCCGATGTTTGTTTGGACACTCCACTATGTAATGGTCATACAACAGGAATGGATATACTTTGGACTGGTACACCAATGGTTACAATGCCACGTATATTTTGAATTTTTTTTCAATTATAAAATATTTTTTAAAGTGGAAACCCTCGCATCGAGAGTAGCTTCAAGTCAACTTCATGCTCTAGGATGCCCTGAGTTGGTTGCTCGTGATAGAGATGATTATATTAGAATTGCTACAAGGCTTGGGAATGATAGAGAATTGTAAGGAGTTAAAAATTTTTTTTAGTTTTTAAAATTTTTTTTTAATTTTTAAAAATTTTTTTAGTTTAAATCAAACACGAGCAAAAGTTTGGAAGGCACGAACTACCAGTACTCTGTTCGACGTAAAACAATATTGCACGGATTTTGAAAATTTGTTGTACAGGATTTGGAAACGCTACGAAGATGGTATTAATTTTTTTTTTAATTTTATTAAAAATTTTTTTTTTCTTTCAGGACTTCCACCGGACCACATTCTTAACTCTTCCGAGTGATAATAAAATTTATGAAGGTTTAGCTTTTATCTGTTTTTTTCCCTTTTTTGTTTTTCCCTTCTTTTTTCTTCTTTTCTCACTTCTATATAACTATGTATCTGTTCAAAAATATTTGCACTAGAAAAATATCCTCCTCCCCTTATTCTTCCTTGTTTTCTTCATTATTTAAAAAAATTTTTTCTTTTTTTTTTAAATTCTCTTTTAATTCTTCCACCTTCCCACCTTACACAATTTTACCCAAAAATTATTTTAGTCCGTGTTGTTTAAAAAATAATAGAAAAATTGGTTCATTCTATCAATTTATTAATTCCATCATTGCCATAAAATTAAGAAAAAAATTTTTTATTCCTACTTAAGTTTATTGAACAATTAAATTTTTTTATGGCATTGATGTCTTTGAGTCTTCCGAATAATAAAAATTAAAAAAAAATTTTTTTCTAAATTAATGCCTGTATCAGTGATTCATTTTTCTCTTCCACCACACACTATCTTCATTTACTTTATATTATTCATTCTTTTTTCTTGTCGCTTCGTTATATAATTTTTTCAAAAAAATAAGTATATAATTACTATGTAAATTCAAAGCCGCAAATTTAAAAAAAAAATAAAAATTTAAAAATATTTTGACTTATAGTATTTTTAAAATATTGCTTGAAAGTAACAATTAAATTTTTTTTGAGAGAAGAACTCGAAAGTATTAAATTTTTCAATTTTTAAATTAAATTAAATTCGAGTCAAAAATGTTGGAGGAAAATCAGTCAACAACAGAAAACGCAGAGAATGGGTTTATAAGTGATAGTCTTACAACTTTTTTAATTTACCAAGAACGTACACAGCGAAGACTGATCCCATTCTTGTATGTAATTTTTATATATTTTTTTTAAATGTTAAAAATTTAATTTATAGATTTTCTGAGCTGTTTTTTCTTTGGACGGGCAAATTGATGAGAAAAGGCTATAAAGGAGAACTTAAACAGGTTAATTATGAATAGGTAAATTTATTACAAATTGTATATTAAATAAGTAGTGTTTTTTACAATTTGTAAATTAACTAAAAACTTGTTTTTTTACAAATTGTAAATCGAACAAGTTTGTTTATTTGCAATTTGTAAAGTTTAACTACAAATTGTAAATTAAATAAATATTCTTTTTACAAATTGTAAATTAATTGAACTTATTTTCTACAATTTGTAAATTTAATAAGTTTATTTTTTTTGGAATTGTAAATTAAATAAACTTGTTTTTTTACAAATTGTAAATCGAACAAGTTTGTTTATTTGCAATTTGTAAAGTTTAACTACAAATTGTAAATTAAATAAATATTCTTTTTACAAATTGTAAATTAATTGAACTTATTTTCTACAATTTGTAAATTTAATAAGTTTATTTTTTTGGAATTGTAAATTAAATAAACTTGTTTTTTTACAAATTGTAAATCGAACAAGTTTGTTTATTTGCAATTTGTAAAGTTTAACTACAAATTGTAAATTAAATAAATATTCTTTTTACAAATTGTAAATTAATTGAACTTATTTTCTACAATTTGTAAATTTAATAAGTTTATTTTTTTGGAATTGTAAATTAAATAAACTTGTTTTTTTACAAATTGTAAAAAACAATTTTTCTTGCTGGTGTTCTAGCTTTACAAGTTGTAAATTAGACAAACTTACTTTTTCGGAGTTGTAAATTAAAATAAACATTTTTTTACAATTTGTAAATTTTTACTTTTTCTAAATTTTTAAAATTATTTTTTTTTAATTTCAGGTAGATGATGTTTTTGATTTACCCAATAGTTTAGACCTAACTACTCTTGGCTCTGTTTTCAGTCATCCTCTTGAAACTGAAACTTCCACTTTTGCACCTATTCTCCTACGGGTTTATGGACGTCAATTTTTTCTTCTAGGCATTCTCAGATTTATTGGAGATATTTTAAAATTTGCAGGTTTCTTTCATAAAAAATTTTTTTTTAATTTTTGTTAGGCCCAATTCTTCTTCATATGCTTATTTCTTCATTACAAACAAATAAAGAAATGGTTAAAATTTGAGTTTTTTTTACAAGAATTTTTTTTAGACTACTAGCTATATTTGTTGTGGATTGATGTTTATTACAATGTTGTTTGCTTCCCTTTGTGATGTGCATTTTGGATACCGGATTCAACTTTTATCAATGAAAGCAAAAGTAAGACTGGGGGTTCTGATTTTTCGGATAGTTCTGATTTTTCTAAATTTTCTGATCATTCTGATTTTTCTGATTATTCTGATTTTAATTTCGATTTTCATTTTCTAGAGCGCCCTTCTACTAGCTGTTTATGAGAAATTATTAAGAATCCCAGCCTATAAAATAACCGACGATTTTTCTTCTGGCAAATTAATAAATTTAATGTGTACAGATATTGATAGAATTGGTGAATTTATTTGTTCCTTTCATGGTAATTTTAAAAAATAAAATTTTAAAAATTATTTTTTTAAACAGCTTTCTGGGGCATGCCAATGGATTTTATTATTGCATTATATTTAATTTATAAAGAGGTTAGTAATTGAAAAAAATATAAATTTTTTTGATGAATTGATATTATGGGAAGGACAGATATTTTCGTTTAAAAATTTAAATAAAATTTTTTTTTTGAAAAATAAAAAAAATTCTTTTAAGATGGGTTTAGCATTTCTGGCTGGTGTTCTAGCTTCTGTAATACTTATACCTTTAAATAAATTAATAGCTTCAAAAATTGGAAAATATTCAAATGAAATGATGTCTGTTAAAGATGCTAGATTAAAGCTGGGTAGATGTTAAAAATTAAAAAAAAAATTTTTTAATAATTTTTAGTCAGTGAATTGAGCCATTCAATGAGGACAATTAAATTAAATAGCTGGGAAAATTTTTTTGAAACAAAAATTAATTTAATTAGACAAAAAGAATTAAAATATTTACGTTATATAAAGTTTCTGGATGCTATATGTGTTTACTTATGGGTATTTTTTTAATTAGTTTTTTTAATTAAAAAATTTTAATAGGCTTCTGCACCCATTCTTATTACAATGATGATATTAGCTACATTTACCTTGATTTTACATGAACAATTGACTGCTGCTAAAGTTTTCACTACACTGGCGTTGATAAACATTTTGATAATGCCATGTAGGTTATTTTAATTTTATTAAGAAAATATTAAAATAAATTTTAAAGTAAATGCCTTCCCATGGGTTCTCGGATCTATGATAACTGGATTAGTGAGCAAACGCCGATTTGATTCATTTTTCTCTATAAAATCAGCTGAAGACTTGAAACAATTTTATTCACCAATTTCTAACTCAACAACACTTATTGAACTTGAAAAAAATTCTTTTGGATGGAAGAGTAAAGAAAATGTTGTTCGAAGTGTTGAATTTAAAGGAGAACAAGTTAATTTTTTATTTATTTAAAATTAAATTTGGTTAACTAAAGGGTATGTTAATTGGAATAATTGGCCCTGTTGGAAGTGGAAAATCAACTTTACTTGTTGGAATTCTCGCAGAAACAATAATTGAAGGCCCTTCAATTTTACTTGATGAGAGGGTATTATCTGAAGGATTTGCTTATGCTGGACAAGATGTTTGGCTTAGAACTGGTTCTGTTAAAGAAAATATTCTTTGCGAGCTTCCCTATTCTCCTGAACGTTTTAAAAGTGCAATAGATGTGTGCGCCTTAACTATGGATATTGAGAATATGCCTGGAAAGGAGAATTATCGAATTGGAGGGGAAGGAGTTACTTTGAGCGGAGGTTTATTTTTTAGTTTTTTGATTACTTTCGGGCTTTGTTTTGGATATCCCCAATTAGGGATGTGTTGATTTATCCGATAACTGATACTCGAAGTCCGAGCTTATTATTTATTTCTCAATCCGATTTATCCATACCCCCCTCGAATACTCGATGCATCCTAATTTAAGATATGCCGTTAAACATTGGTTAGCTACTGGCTGGGGAACTGCTCAAGCATTACCACCAATTTAGGATACCTCTCATTATAAAATACAGCTTTCTTAGTCCCATGGGTCTATCTAAAGATAATGTCCGATTTTATAAAAATAAAATAAAATTTCTTTTAAAAAGGTCAGAAAGTCCGTCTTGCATTAGCCCGTGCTGTTTATGCTGACAAACTTATTTATCTACTCGATGATCCTTTTGCAGCATTAGATGGAACAGTTGCTTCTTTTGTTTATGAAAATTGTATTGAAAAGCAACTTAGATCCAGAGGGAAATTAGTAATATTGTGTACACATCATGAACGATTCTTGGGACGTGCTGATTTAATTGTACAATTGGATGGGGAAGGAAATGTTTTGAGAGCTGGTAAGCCTCTGAATTTTTTTAAAAAATTTTTCAAGAATTTTTTCATTTAACAAGGTCCCCCAGAAGTTATTTTGCCTAATATTGTTGAAAATCAAATAATAAAACAAACAGACAATGGGTGTGAAGAAGAAAATGACGTTGATTTATCTCAACCTATGGAAGCAGCAGAATATGTCTCTGTTGTGGATAATGAAGAAAAAGAAGAAGGAACGGTCAAAATACGAATTTATAAGACGTATATTAAAGCTATAGGGTTGTGGTTGTCAGGGCTGGTATTGCTTTCTTTAATTGGTAAATTTTAATTGAAATAATCTTTAATTAAAAATAAAAATTTTTAGCTTTGCAAGCAACTAGAAACGCTACAGATGTTTGGTTGAGTAAATGGAGTTCAGCAAACAATTCAGAACACAATAATTCAAAGTTGTTTCTTCAACAAGATTGGGGGTAATTTTTATTTTTGTGAAAATTAGAAAAATCAGAATTTGTAATATGTTTTACAATTTATAAATACAAATTGTAAATGTTGCAGTTAAGCATTTTTACAATTCAAGTTTAAACTCAAGTTTTACAATTTGTAAAATGTTGAATATATATCTTTACAAATTGTAAAAGTTCAATATATATTTTTTTACAAATTGTAAAACGCTGAATATATTTTTTACAAATTGTAAAACGCTGAATATATTTTTTTACAAATTGTAAAATGCTAAATACGGGTACAAAACCTCTTTTTACAAATTGTAAATATAATCAAGCATTTTATAAATTGTAAAGTTTAAAATAAAATGTATTCCTATAATTACAATTGTAAAAGTATTTTTCCTTTTTTAGTTATCCTTTTGCTTCACGTTATATTATTCCTCTCACTTCAATTAATGAACAAAATCAAGAAATGTTTTATTTACGCATTTATATTGCAATTGTTGGTCTCAATTCCATTTCAACTTTAACACGTGCTTTCCTTTTTGCAATTGCCTGTATCTATGCAGCCAAATATTTACATCAACGCTTATTGAGCCGCATTTTAAAAGCAAATATAAATTGGTGGGATAAAACGCCTTGTGGGCGTGTTACAAATCGTTTATCAACGGATGTTAGCATTGTGGATACTTCTTTACCTTTTCAATTAAATATTTGTTTGGCTAGTTTCTTTTCTCTTATAGGTATGATTTAATAAATAATTCAAAAAAAATTTTTTAATAAAATAGGAACTCTAATTTTGACGCTTGTAGCACTCCCATTGCTCTCACTTTTGTTGTTGCCTCTATTTATTATTTATTATTATATTCAGGTAAATTTTTTAAAATTTTATGAAGATGGAAATGTTTGTTTTAGAGTATTATCAATCTCCTAAAAATTTTTTTTGAATGGGGGAGGGCCAGAATTAACTGTCACAGGGGGTGCCTGTCTGGGGCTATAACTCATTTTTCTCTCTTGACTAAAATTAAAATTTTTTTCTTTATAGAAATACTATCGTCGAACAAACGTTGAATTGGTAATTTTAATAATTTTTTTTCGATTTTTAATTAATTTTTATTTTCCTCAGAAACGAATATGTGCCATTACTTTATCTCCATTGTATAGCCACCTTTCAGAAACAGTATCTGGATTAATCACAATACGTTCTCTTCGAATTAGTCAATTGTAATAATTATTCTTTAATAAAAATAATTCTTTTTTCTTCAGTTTTTCTTCAAAAATGAGAACACTTTTGGGTTACAATCTCCGTTCTTCATTCTCTTCTTTGGCTGCTTCAACATGGCTTTCTGTACGTATTCAAATGCTTGGACTTTTTGTGCTCACAATTATTTTATTAGCAAGTATATTGGATGTTACGATTTTTAAATTAAGCCATCCTGGACTTATTGGTTTGGCTATAACTTATGCTTTGTCAATAACTAATGTTTTAAATGGTCTTCTTACGTCTTTTATTGAGACTGAAAAAGGTTTAATTTCCTTTTTACAAATTGTAAATTTTGTTTGAAAATAAGTTTTACAAATTGTGAAATTAATTGCAATTTGTAAAATTAATTGAACTTGTTTTACAAATTGTAAACTTAATAAACTTGTTTTTACAAATTGTAAAATTAATAAAACTTTTTTTTTACAAATTGTAAAATAATTTGTAAATTCGTATTACAAATTGTAAACCTAGCAAAACTTTTTCTACAAATTGTAAAATTATTAGAAATTGTTTTACAAATTGTAAACTTAATAAAACTTAATTTTACAAATTGTAACCATATTATTTATTCTAAAACTTTTTTTACAAATTGTAAAAACTAAGAATTCTTTTAATTGTACTTAAGTTTACAAACTTTATTTTTTTATTTTAGAATTAGTTTCTGTTGAACGAATATGTGATTATATTGATAATGTTCCTATGGAGGACGAAAAAGAATCTAGTCAAATAAACAATGATGATATTCCAACTCCAATAAAAGGGCATATTTGCTTTGAAAATGTTTCTCTCCGTTACTCTCCAGAATTGCCTTTAGCTATTAACAACATTAGTTTTCGTTTAAAAGCGGGTACTAGAACAGCAATTATTGGAAGAACTGGAGCTGGCAAGAGTACTATCTTACAGGTTTTTTTAAATTTTATTTTAGAGAAGATTTAATTGTTTTTTAAGGCGTTACTTCGAGCACACCCTATTGAGACTGGCAGAATTCTGATAGATGACAATGTTGATTTGGCTAATTTAGGATTTAAATGTGCTCGTTCTTTGGTATGAGGTTTTTTAATTGAATTTATATTTAAATAAAATTATGAGGGGAAGGGGAGGGTTTAGAGAGAGGATTGATACATATTTCCGTCAATCATATCTTTGAGGGATTTTTTCAAAAATAATTAAAAAAAAATTTCTTTTTAGTTTGGCTATGTCTCTCAACACCCTTTTATCTTCTCGGGAACTCTTTTTGATAATCTTTCAATTGCCAATACAAATTTAAACAACACACAAATTGAAGCTTGCATTTCTGAACGAGGTCTATCTCAATGGTTGGAACAATTTGGAGGATTAAACAAAATAATTTGTGAAGGAGGAAATAATCTTTCTTTTGGAGAACGACAGTTAATATCACTTTTAAGATTGTCTTTGACAAAGCCGAAGGTTTGGAAAAAATTTTTTTCGTCTTTGACCTCTCTATAGGATGCAACTAGGGCATCCCGATTGGAGACTTTTTTTTTTTAAATTTGTTTGAAATGGGGTGGAGGAAAAAGAGGAGCTGTCTAACAAATTTTTTTTGCTGTCTTTGACCCCTTTAATAAGAGACCCCTCATTATATGAGACCCCTCATATAAAAACCCCTCATTATAAGAGTGATTTGATTTTTACAACCCCAAGGGAAAAGTGAGTATATCTCATGGTCGAGGTCCGTCTTTAACTTTAAAAATTTCTATCAAAAATTTCTTTTTCTAAAGATAATTCTAATTGATGAAGCAACAGCCCATATGGATGAACAAACACATTTATTAATGAGCAGATTAATATCAAGTATGGGATGTACATTAATTGCAATAGTTCATCGTCTTACTGGTCTAGATGAACATTATGATTGGGTTATTGGTAGGGATATATTTTATATTGAAAAATTTATTTTTGTTTAAAGAAATGAGCACTGGTCAAATAGCTAGAGAGGGACCGCCATCACTTTTCTCCCGAAAATAATCGAAAAATTATAAAAAACATAGGGGCAATATTTTTAAATTTTATTTAGATTTTTTCGCTAATTTATTTTTACAATTTATTTGTTAATTTTAATAATTGAAAGTTTATTCAATTTTTGTTTTCGTTCATTTATATATTTCTTTAAAACCCAGTGAGTAAATTGAATCATGATCTGTTAAATGAGAAGAGATTTTAATTAAAAATATTTTTTTTGAAAGTAAGAGGTTTTGGAGAGTTTTAGTATTATAAGTTGAGTCTCTCATAATATAAACCCCTTAGGACAAGGATTATTTCTTATAATGAGGAGTACATTAAATAGAGGTCATCTATTAGACGCCATCTACCCCCATCCTCTAGCCAACCAGATTTCAAATAGCATACCTTTAATTGAGCTGTATAGGATTTTTTATGGTGAGGTCAACTCTCTAAAACACCCATCTTTCATCATTCAGTAAAAACACCTACATTAATTATTTGTATACCAGCTACAGCAGTAGCTGTCCACTGAAATCCTAAATGTTCAGCACTAAAACCACCTACAGCTGTGCCAATAAAACAACTATAGATATTTAGGAATAATTTTTTTAACTTCACAAAAAAGTACCCAAGTGCAAAAAATGATATAAAATATCCTGAAATTTGCCCACAAGTAGTTGACGATTTTTCCGAATATCCTTCATTTCTTAAAAAATATTTTAAAATATTTTTTTTTTCAAAATTAGTTTACTTTACAGCGTCCAAACACCATTTAAATACAGGAACAAAAAGTGCAGCGCAGGATATTCCAAGTATTGCAAATGAGATTCCAATCAGAATTAAATTTCTTTTAAGGGGAAAAAGTTAAATTCTGATTTAAAAATAGGTAATTCTGATTTTCAAACAAATTCTGATTTTAAAAGTCTTACTTTTCCAATCCCAGAAACGGTGCTGGACCCATTAATAAAGGAGAAATAGCAACTAATACTCCACCAATAATTCTAACAAATGAAGGCGAGAATCGTTGCGCAATGCGATCGTATATCCAGCCCCATATTGGTGTAGAAATTAAATAGAAACAAGCCAATATCATCAACATAATCCCAACTAAGACTGAAGGTCTCCCTTTGAACTTGAAAATTTTATTTTTAAATTTATTCTAATAGTCGCCTATTGCGATAGAATAAAATATTTTTAATATTATCCCTACTGTGGAAAGATGTTCAGTTAAGGCAGGCTCGAAAAACACAAAAGCAATAGAAATAACAAAAGTAGAAAGCATTGCCATAAAAACATCAGGGATTAAAATCATTTTTACCATCCCTGGAGATTTTTCTTCTTCTTGTTTGACGTTTGAGGTTTCTGAGCCTTGAAATAGAAATTTAAAAACAATTTAGAATTTGTTTTGAATGGATGTTTAGAATATTTAAAAACATGTTTAGAAACAATGTTTAGAACAAACGAATATTTTTTTCCGGAAAACATAAATAAAAAATGTTTAAAAGAAATCTTCCGGAAACCTTAAAAAACACCCACAAACATTTATTTGTTAGAGAAACACATTCCAGAAAACACATTCCGGAAAAACAATTTTAGTTGATTCCCCAAAATAAATAAAGTTTTCCCGAAATATACTTTTCCGGAAAAACATTAATACAAACCCTCAGATAAAAGGCCACGATAAAATGGTAGAGCAGACAAAGCAAGCAACAACTGTGCAGATCCAACAACAAATAAAGGCAGCATATATCCACCGACTTCATATAAGCCACTACCAATAGCTGGTCCTATAGTACTGCCGAGGCCAAATGCAACTTCAATAATACCCTTTATGGAATTTTTTGTTCAAAATTAAATAAGTATTCACCATTGCCAAACTTATTCTTTCAGGAAATAATTTCCCGAAAATTGTCATAGAAGCAGCGTTAAAAGCAACGCCACCAAGAGCTTGTGTCGTCCTGCAAACTAGTAATCCAAAGAAAAACATTGGGCCAGAAGGCAAATAATCGGCCAAGCCAAATGCTATTGAACTGATACCACAAAGTATAATTCCACCAACAAATGTTCGGTTTGCTCGTAAAACAGCCATCTACATATTATTACATATTTTAAAAATAGTGTAAGCACTCTTTAAAAATTGTTAAAAACATTTTCCGGAAAACACATGTTCATTTAATTTTATAAAAAATACTTGAAAATATATTTCAGGAAAAATCAAAATATTGAGTAATTTATTTTAAAAACATTCCGTAAAACATTTAATTAAAAACATGTTCATTTTATTGTTAAAGGAAAAAATTCCGGAAAAACATTTGTGCTCAAAACATTTTCCGTAAAACATAAACAAAACATAATTAAACCTTTCTAATATGTTTCTACTAGTTTTTATTTAATTAAAAAACAGACATATTTTCCAATAATAGGTGAGGCAATAAACATAATAAGTTGATAATACCCAATAACAAATCCAACTTGTGTTGTACTTAAGCCTTTCCGCTTTATAGCTTCTGTTGGGAGGAAAGGTACAATACAAGAAAAAGTTATTGTAGATGAGACGCTTAAAATTGCAATTAGGACCATAACAATTAATTGCTGCCTAGTTAAAGGTGCTGGAACTACTAAAATATATAATTAATTTTATGCTAAGATTGTGTTTATCAGCAATTATATTTTATAAAGATATTGAGGAATATACATATTAAGGAAAATATTTATATTGAAACATTCCGGAAAACAATATTAAATAGCATCCCAAAAACACGAACAATAGTAGCGAATAAAATGTAAAAACATTCCAACAAACATACCGGAATTACATCTAAAACATTGGATATTTCAGTAAAACAATAACTTTTGTTAAACATTCCGGAAAACACCAAAAACAAATAAAATATATAAAAACATTCCGGAAAACATTTTGAAAAACAAATCATCTAAACATTCCCGAAACACAAAACTTCATGTTTTTGTTTATGTTTTAAACTTGCCTTTTTCATTCTGTTTTGTATCTACCTTTACAATTTCATCTACACTTTTTAGTGTTATATTATTATTGTTTTCATCACCATTTATTTTGTTTGAGTTATCTGGACCTTGTAGTAATTCTGATGCATAAATCTTTGTTTCAGTCATGTTTTTGATTTTAATTAAAATTAAAAAAATGGCAATAATTTTAAATAAATTATAGCAAAGATAACTAAAGCTTTATATAACAAAAGTGTTTTTACCTCATAATGTGTGGTTGCCACAGACCCCATAATCCGTGGTGCAAAATAGAAAAATATTTCTGTCTTCAATAAGATTTACATTTTTACACTTATTAAATGACAATTTTTTAAAATAATTTTTTCTTCATTTTCACCTTCCACCATTGTCAAAATTTTTTTGTTTAGGATTATTCCGAACCAATTTTGATCTTTCAATGTATTATCAAAAATTACTACGTGGAAAATATGCAGATTTTTGTCAAGCAGATTTTTGTCACTAGAAAATTATAATTTGTAACGTTTAAAAGTTGTCATTTTATTGGAAATTTCATAGTGATTTTTGACTTTATCGAAATATAGCACAAACAAAACACTTCAAAAACACGAAAAACAAATAAAATGTAAAAACATTCCAACAAATAAGAAGGAATTATATTAAAAACATTCCGGAAAACATTTTGAAAAACAAATCATCTAAACATTCCGGAAACTCAAACAAAAACACAAAATAAATAAAAACATGTCGGAAATACATACAAAAACAAATAGAATATATAAAAACATTATGGAAACACAAACAAAAACACAAAATTTATAAAAACATTCCGGAAAACATTTTGAGAAACAAATAATCTGAACATTTCGGAAACAAACAAAATATATAAAAACATTCAAGGAAAATTGAATTTTAAATTTCCGAAATGAATTGAAATAAAAATTTCTTCACACAATAACAAAAAAATTATAAGAAAAAATATAGGAGAGGAGAAATATTTTTAAAATTTTTATTTAAATTTTTTGTTGATTTATTTTTACACATTATTATTAATTTTAATAATTGCAATTCTATTTAATTTTTGTTTCCGTTCATTTAAATATTTCTTTAAAATCCAGTGAATAAATTGAAGCAAAGTCTGTTTAAATGAGAAGAAATTTTTATTTAATTTATTATTAATTTATATTATTTTATTTAAAATACATCATCTTTTAACATTCTTTAAAAACACCTACATTAATTATTTGTATTCCAGCTACAGCAGTAGCCGTCCATTGAAATCCTAAATGCTCAGCACTTAAACCACCTACAGCTGTGCCAATAAACGAACTATGTATTCAAAAATATTTTTTTAAGTTCACAAAAAAATACCCAAGTGCTAAGGATGACAGGAAAAATCCAGAAATTTGCCCACAAGTAGTTGAGGATTTTTCTGAGTATCCTTCATTTCTTAAAAATTTTTTTTAATAATTTAAAAAATTATTTTTGTACTTCACAGCATCCAAACACCATTTAAATACAGGAACATAAAGTATAGCGCAGGCTATTCCAAGAATTGCAAATGAGATTCCAATCAGAATTAAATTCCTTTTAAAAGAAAAAATATAAATTCTGATTTTAAAATAATCCTGATTTTCAATTAAATTCTGATTTTCAATTAAATTCTGATTTTCAACAAATTCTGATTTTTTAAAAATAATTCTGATTTTATTAAATTCTGATTTTTTAAAATAATTCTGATTTTCGGATGAATTCTGATTTTAATTCCGCTTCATAAATAATTCTGAATTTTTAAAATAATTCTGATTTTAAAAGTCTTACTTTTCCAATCCCAGAAACGGTACTGGACCCATTAATATAGGAGAAATAGCAATTAATGCTCCTCCAATAAATCTAACAAGCGAAGGTGAAAAGCGTTGCACGATATAACGATCAAATATCCAGCCCCATGTTGGCGATGAAATTAAATAGAAACACGCTAATATCATCATCATAATTCCAACCATGACGGAAGGTCTTCCTTTGAACTTGGAATTTTTTTTATTATTTTTAATTTATTCTAATAGTCGCCCTAGTGAAGGATTTTAGAATCTTAGGGATAGGCGCCTATTAGAATGAATAAATTATTTTGAATATTATCCCTACTGTGGAAAGATGTTCAGTTATTGCAGGTTCGTAAAACACCCAAGCAATACAAATAACAAATGAAGAAAGCATTGCCATAAAAACATCAGGGATTAAAATCATTTTTACTATGCCGGGAGATTTTTCTTCTTGTTGATTGACATTTGAGATTTCTGAGCCTTCAGATAAAAGGCCTCGATAGAATGGTAGAACTCCCAAAACAAGCAACAACTGCGCTGATCCAACAACAAATAAAGGTAAAATATATCCACCGACTTCATATAAACCACTACCAATAGCTGGTCCTAAAGTGTATCCAAGACCAAATGCAACTTCATTAATACCCTTTAATGGAACGTTTTCCTCAAAATTTCAAGAAAGTATTCACCGTTGCTAAGCTTATTCTGTCAGGAAATAATCTCCCAACAATTGTCCAAGAAGCAGTGTTAAAACCAACACCACCAAGAGCTTGAGTCGTCCTGCAAACTAACAATCCAAAGAAAAACATTGGGCCAGAAGGTAAATAATCGGCAAAGCCAAATGCTATTGAACTAAGCCCACAAAGTATAATTCCACCAACAAATGTTCGGTTTGCTCGTAAAACAGCCATCTATATTTTGATTATTTTAAGAATAGGGTAAAAATCTTTAAAACATTGTTAAAAACATTTCCCGGAAAACACATGTTCATTTAACAAATTAAAATATTCCGGAAAACACATAGAACTAAAAACATGTTCATTCTATCGGTAAAAGAAAATATTCCGGAAAACACGTTTGGGAGCAAAACATTTTCCGGAAAACATAAACAAAACATATTTAAATTTCTCAACATGTTTCTAGTTTTTACAATATCTAAAAACACAAACATATTTTCCAATAACAGGGGAGGCAATAAATTGAATAAGCTGATAATAGCCAATAACAAATCCAACTTGTGTTGTACTTAAACCTTTCCGTTTTGTAGCTTCTGTTGGAAGGAAAGGTACAATACAAGAAAAAGTTATTGTAGATGAAACATTTGAAATTGCGAGTAGGGCCATAACAATTATTTGCTGCCTAGTTAGAGGTGCTGGAACTACTAAAATTTAATTAAAATTATACTGAGAATTTTGTATTTCTCAGTATTTTTATTTTATAAGAAACATTGGAAATCAGGAAAATATTAAATGTATAAAACATTCAGGAATTTCATCTAAAACTATCCGGGAACAATAAAAAGTACAATAAAACATTTTAGAATCACAAACAAATAAAATATATAGATTTTCCGGAAAACATTCTGAAAAACAAATAAACATATTAAACATTCCGGAAAGACAAACGAACAAAACAATAAAATACAAAAACATTCCGGAAAACAATTTGAAAAACACTCCCTAAACAATATCAACTCACAGAAACATTCCGGAAACACAAACAAAAACAAATAAAATATACAGAAACATTCCGGAAAACATGTAAAAATAAATAAAATATAGACAACACAAATGCTTCCGGAAAAACATCAACAAAAACATCAACAACAAATAAAATATAAAAACATTCCAGAAAACATTTTGAAAAACAAATCATCTATACATTCCGGAAACACACAACTTCATGTTTTTATTCATGTTTTAAACTTGCCTTTTTCATTCTGTGTTGCATCTGCCTTTACTATTTCTTCAACATTATTTAATGTTATATTATTGTTTTTGCTGTTGTTTTCATTGCCATGTGTTTTGTTTGAATTATCCGAACCTTGTAATATTTCTGATGCGTGAATCCTTCTTGTTTGTGTCATGTTTCGATTTTAATTTAATTAAAGAAACAACAATAATCGTTAACCAAATAAATAATTTGGGGTTTTTAAATAAATTATAGTAAAGATAATAAAAATAAAATGATGAAATTTAATTATTTTTATTTATATTTTACTTATCGGTTGCTGCTTGTTATGTTTTTGATTGCACTGAAAACACGCCTTTTTCTTCGTTTTATTTTTTTAATATTTAAAATTAAAAATACGAACGGTCAAAATTAATCCTCTCCTTATGATGTGTTTGATAAGGAAATTAAAATTATGATCATTGATAAAAAATTTTTTTTGATAGACTAAAATACAAAAGAATTGATAGCTACTACCAAATAAAGTAACATGTTTTTAATTAAAAGTAACATGTTTTTGTGTTTTCCGGAAAAAATAAAATACAATTTAAAAATTTAAATTCCGGAAGCAAAAGACAAACAAACCAAACAAATTTCCTGAAAACATGTTCCGGAAAAATTAAACATATATTTATTTATTTAACTATTCCGGAAACATGAAAACACGAACAAAACATTCCGGAAAAACATTTAAACAAAACATTCTGAAACACAAACACAAATGTCTGAACAAAACAAATGTTTCCGGAAAAACATCAACAATGTTTATCTTGTTTTTTTATTTTATTTTAAATAATTTTATTCCAACAAATAAGTGATTATGATTATTTATGTAATTAAGACATTAATTAGTTAACTGATATGCACCGAACACGATTTTCGGGACATTGTCACGTTCATTTTCAAAACAAACACTAATTTAATTTGTCTCCATTTCTTAATTTCATAATGATGGGCATTTTAAATGCTAACTAATGATGTTTTCTTATTTAATTTTGGGGAACATAGATTTATTTTTAGTGAAAGAACTTTCGATAAATGACGAATTTTAAAACACTAAATTTTTATAGGATGACATTCAGTACATATAAAAGAGTTCATTAAAACATTAACCGGAAAAATAAAATGTTTTGTTTAAATGTTTAAATGTTTATGTTAATAATAAATGTTTTCCGGAAATAAAATGTTTTTACTGAAGAACATATTTGAGAGGAATTATGAAAAACACAAACATCTTCCGGAAAAACATCAATAATAAAGGAAAAACACTTTCCGGAAAAACATTTTACGAGAAAACACATTCCGGAAAAACATAAATAATAAAAGAAAAACACTTTCCGGAAAACATTTAGAGCAGCTAGCGTATATCTAACCATGTTTTTCAGACTAGAAACTTACTTAGTTTATCAAATAATATATTTAAGTTTTGGATCTATTAAAATTATTAAAACATTTGTTTGTCATTAATTAATTTTATTATTGTTCATATTTTTCGCAACTTTGTTCATTTCCTTTACCCAATTTGTAAAACTTCTCCTTAACTTCATTACCGCCTCCAATGACTTCTCTCCTAAAGATTCTAGAAAAGATTTATCACTATTAAATTTCTTGTGATTCACCTCATCATCCTCATCCTCTTCTTCGCTTTCTTCGCTTTCTTCATCTTCCTCTTCTTCACTTCTTTCAAACCATTTTGAGTGGTCTTCCTCCAAATAACTCTTCTTATTCATCTTGTTATCATCACTTTTATCTTCCCCAAACTCGTCTTCCTCTTCCACAGACTCGTCTTCTTCCTCTTCTTCACTCCCTTCCTCTTCTTCACTCCAATCATCTTCTTCACTTCCTTCAAACCACTTGGAATGATCCTCTTCCAAATACTTGTTTTTATTTTTCTTCTTTTTAATACCTCCACCCACCTTCTTTAAAGTATCCTTCTCCTCTGAACCTTCTTCCTCAGAATCTTCTAACGCTGAATGATCTTCTTTTGGATTAGTAGGTCTATTAATCCTATTTTTATTTTTATCTAAATTCTTCTTTAATTTTTTCTTCAAATAAACTTCTTTCGAATCTTTTACTTTGCCTCCTATTCCTCTTCCATTTTCATCTTCATTCTCTTCTTTTCCTTCTGAATTTCTTCCCTCTCTTTTCGAGTGATTTTCGTTCTCCCCTTTTTTCTTCAAATAAATTTCCTTCGAATCCTTTACTTTGTCTCCTATTCCTCCTTTACCTTCCTTACTATCCTCGAAATCTTCCTCTTCTTCAGTCTTCCTCTTCTCCATCTTTCTTTGCTCTTCCAAATCCTTCCCTTCACTTTCTGAGTGATTCCCTTTCTTCGCTTTTTTCCTCAAATAAATTTCTTTCGAATTCTTCACTTTGTCTCCTAATCCCCCATCTTCCTCACTATCTTCTTTACTTTCAGAATGACTTCCTTCCTTTTTTAAGTGATTTTCTGTATTTTTATTTGTATTAATTCTCTCTCTATTTTCAGGCTTTTTCTCTTCTAAATTACTTCCATCAAAACTCATCTTTTTCTTCCTATCTTCCTTTATATCTTCCAAATTCTTCCTTTCTTTTTTAGAATCTTCTACTTTTAAATTCCTTTCTTTCCTTACATCTTCTTCAGATTTTTCTTCCAAACTCTTCTCCTTTTCTTTACTCTTCTTCCCATGAATACCCTCCAGTGCAGGATCCTCTTGTACTGATTCTAAACTTGAAAGACTTGAAATTGATTCAATAGAATCCTCATTTCCTTCAGAAGCATTGGAAGAATCTTCTGAAACATCTACAGTGTTTAAAGCATTTTTCAAAGGCGCAAGTTTTGAAGGAGTCTTCAAAAGATTCTCTTTCGAAACTACACCATTATCCTTCATTGAATTGCCTTCTCTTTTAAAATATTTCTTTAAAATTGTTGGAACTTTGGGTAATTCATCATTTTTGCTTTCCTTTTCCCTCATTTTTGAATCTTCCCTACTATGTACACTTCCACTTCTTCCTTTATTTTTTGAAGGATCCTGTTTTTCTTCCTTCCCCAACAATTTTGGATCTTCTTCCTCTTTTATCTTTTTTAGTCTTTTCTTATTTACCTCTACAGAATCATTGCCTAAGTGCTTGTTATTGTCATTAATTTCCTCCTCAGAAGATTCTCTGTCGAAATATGTTCCTCCTTCACCTTCCTTATCAGAAGCTTTTACCCTTCTATTTTTATTTGTTTTTACTCCTCCTCTTCTTGCCTCCTCAGAATTTTTTCCTTTCAACTTATTCCCTCTTCTCTCATCTTCACCATTATTGTTTCTCTTCCTCTTCATTTTTCTCTTCCTAACTTCATAGTCTTCAGAATAATCTTTAATTTCTTCAGAATCTTCCTTCCAATCATTTACTTTATCATCTTCTTCAGATTCACTTCCCTCCCATCCTTCATTCTCATCATCAACATCAGAATCTACTAATTCTTCCAAACTTTTTCTTCCCCTATCTTCTTCCTCTGAATATCCCTTCCAGTTTGGAACATCTTCTGACGGAATATGATTTTGTTTAATCATTCTTCTCATGCCATTCTTGTCATCATTCTTCCACTTTCTATTCTTCCATCCTTTATCATCTTCATTAGAAAGCGTATCTTCATAGCTCTTCATCTTTCCATCATTATGTGGATGTCTCCTTGGGATATGAGGATGCCTTCCTGGAGCATGTGGAAGTCTTATTGGGATATGAGGCTGTCCTCTTGGGGCATGAGGATGTCTTCTTAGAGTATGAGGATGCCTTCTTGGAGTAAGTGGATGTCTTCTCGCTCTTCCCCAATTTTTCCCTTCTTTCTCATCTTTTTCATCACTTCCAACTAAAGTTTCCCCTCTTCCAGTCTTCTCTTCAGCCTTATTTCTTCCATTGTTATCCTTTCCCCAATTCCTTGGCCAATTCATTTTAGGAAGTCTCCAATGAGGACGTCTTCTGTTAATACTTCTATCATCAATACTTTCATTTGATAAAGGAGGATGTTTTTCTGTTTCACTTTCTTCACTTTCCAAGTCTTTCATGCCTCTTAACTTATTAAATTCTTCCTTTGGATTCTTCTTCTTCCTGTTCTTTCCCGGTATATTTTCCTTTTCGTTTACTGATTCTACACTTGAAAGGCTTGCAATTGATTCAATAGAATCTTCATTTCCTTGAGAAGCATTGGAAGAATCTTCTGAAACATCTACAGCGTTTAAGGGATTTTTTAAAGGCTTAAGTTTGTTATTCTTCAAATTAGTTTTCCTATTATTTTCCTTCTTTTTCTCTTCACGGTGAAGTTTATTTGGTGTTCTTGGGGTTTTCGGTCTTAATTTATTATTACTCTTTTCCGATTTATTTTCGGATGAATTTTTGTTTTCTTTTGGTGGCTCCAAACTTGTAGTTGATTCAATAGAATCTTCCTTTCCTTGAGAAGCATTTGAAGAATTTTCTGAAGCATCTACTGAGTTTAAGGGATTTTTAGAAGGCTTAAGCTTGCTCTTCTTCAAATTATTTTTCTTCCCTTTCTCTTCACGATGAAGTTTACTTGGGTTTAATTTACTTCCAGCCTTTTCCGATTTATTTTCAGACGTGTCTTTTTCCTTTGGGAGTTCAAAACTTGAGGCTGAAGAAGAAACTTCAATAGAATCATCCTTTCCTTCTGAGGCTTTTGAAGAAGCTTCTGGGGAATTTATTGAGGTTGTTGCTATTTTCTTTAAGGGCTTCAATTTCTTCTTCCCTTCCTTCTCTCCTCTTCCTTTTTGCTTATTTTTAACATTTTTCTTTTCTTCATTTTTATCTTCCAAAGGATGTTCTGGCTTAATTTTAACCCTTTTTGGCTTGGTTTTAGGCTCCTCTTCTGAGATAACAGAAGAATTGGGTTCCGATGCTGTCTCGGATTTGTTTGTTTCTGTGCTTGTTTTAGAAGACCTGTCCTGTTCCCCACCAAACTTTGGCCAATGCCAGTTTGGTGTTCTAGGGAGATTTCTGGTTTTTTCATTTCTACTAGGTCCAGTCCCTTCTAAATTAATTTTTGGATTTAATTTTTTAATTTTTGAAGATTTTTCTTTTTGTTTATTTTTAAGAGATCGTTGTCTTTTCCTTGGCCAATCTTTGCTAGGCCAATAATTTGGCCATTTTTTATATTTTTTAAAATTATTTTGATCCATTTCCTTGCTATTTTTTCGCTTCCTTTTCCTTTTTTGAAGAGGATTCTGATTTTTATTTTTAATTATTTGTGGATTTCTGGTGTTCTTTCTGGTGTTTTTTACAGGCCTGATAGTTGAAGGATTTATTATTTTTGGTCTTCCCATTTTCCCCTTTTCCCCAAAATTATTTTTTATTTTTTTCAAAAAATTGTGAATGTGGTCTTTAACAGAAGAAACTCGTTTTGGAGGATTTTTAAAATTTTTTTGAATTTTTTTCTTTAACAATTTTGGGTTTTCTCTATTAAAATATTTTTGTTTTTGATTAAAATTTGTTGGTAATTTTTGCTTATCTTTGTTTTTAGTTATGGCATGTTTTTCACGTTTTTCTCCTAGTTCGTCCTTTTTTGTATTTTTAAATCTTTCTTTGGTTGTTTGATTATTTCCATGAATTTCACCTATTTTTATAGGGACAATTCCATGAATTCCATTCTTTTTTCTGGGAACTATAATAAAATTAAAAATATCAGAATTTGTAATTATGTAAGAAGGAAGAGAGATCAAGTTTAGCATTCTTAACGTTTACTACGGGCTCAGATAAAGAATCTTGCCTTCACGTGGCGAGCGAAGACGCCTGGCTTTACTTACTAGAAGATCATAGGTTGGATGCCAGCCTAGGTCTTTGTTTGATGGAACTGTAATAAAATTAAAAATATCAGAATTGTTCCATGCTGGCTTAGCAATCAAATCGCTCACTAGGGGCAAGGATTTAAGATCTTTAGCAAAAAAAAAGAAAATGTGAAAGCAACATTCAGTAGCTCAGATAGAGGACCTTGTCTTTACGTGGCGAATGAAAACGCCTGGGCATTACTTGCTAGAAGGTTGCAGGTTCGATGTTTGCTTAAGGCTGGAGTTTACCTTTCCCTTACTAAATTAGAAATCAGAATGTGTATTTTGTAAGCTAATACATGAGAATTTATTTTTTAAATGCTTTGATCATGACTTTGGATCCAAGAAAAATAAGTGTCTAGATCCAGTGATGAGTGGAATGATCAGAGTGATTCGGAGAGTGATGCTTGGGAGAGTGATGATGTGAAGGAGGATGATGATAATTTTGATGATTATGGTGTTGATTAGATGAATAATCCTCTGAACTATAAATCTCTTCGGAATGATCATTGTCGTAATGAAGTGTAGGATGGGGAAGGTGATGGTGAATGTTGTGGTGAGGATGATGTCGATACTTCTAAATAATGTTAAAGCTAATTATTTATAAAAATGAGATCTCTATCATATCTCATTCCTGAGGAAGTTTCTTGAGGTTAACTTCTTGAGAGAAGAAGCTCAAAAACTCGGAGCGGAAAGAATCGAAAACTCGGAACTAAAAACTGAAGCTCGGGACAAGGGAAATCTTCTAATAGAGATAGGAATCTAAAGGTGTGATAAGTTAGAGATTAAAAGTACCCAAAATACACCTTTCTGTCTCTCCTCTTCTTAATAGCCTTAGCCGCTTTATGAAACACATAGGAAGCGGCACCTCCAAGCAATAAAGCTTCTATAAATCGTTTTGGGCGGGGATTGATATTTGTTGTTGTTGGGTTAAATGGAGATAATTCTTGAAATTTTACCAACTTTTCATAAGAAAATATTTCAGAGAATATTAAAACGGAGAGGGAATTGAGAATTATTAAAATTAGAAAAAATGCCATTATTTAATTTAATTAAAAATTAATTTAAAAAGGCAATCATTAAATTTTAAAATTAATTTAAAAAAGAAGTCACAGGAAATAAAGACGTAAAGGGGAAATAGTCTCGAGAAAGTGCATTGAATTTGTAATAGACAGGGGAAATGCCGCAATATTTTTAAATTAATGTAGTTCCGTTAGAAAATGGTGTAAATTTAATATAGGTAGATTTTATTGGCATAGACAATGGGAATTTAAGGTCTCATACTCTCAAGATATAAGTCTCGATGTGAGGATTATTTTATCTAACGTAATTGAATTGATCAGATCATCCTACCTAAAGCTATAGCCTACTAAATATCAAAAATCCCGATTGCGCGTACTTGTTCGCCTTTACCTTTAAGTAGAATATTCTGATCAAATCAGTCCTGTTAGCTAAAATAATCCTCACATTTAGAGCTTTCGTTTGATATATAATTTATTTAAATCGGTCAAGGATGAAAAAAGTTATGGCCTAAAACAGTATTTTCCCCCACCTATATTTAATTTCAATATTTTACGCCTATTTGGGATAAAATGTCATTTTGTCATTTTTAATTTTCTCTCTTCTTCTCTTCCATACTATTTCGTCTCTTTGTCTTTCTTTTTATGTTTTTCTTTTCCCAATATTCTGCCAATACCACATTTTGCCAATAAGGCTAAAAATTGACATTTTGTCAACACAGCCTTATTGGCAAAATGTGACTTTTTACTCTTACTGGCAAAATGTCCTCGAACCATATTTTCCTTTCCTCTTTAAATTCCATTAAAATTAAATTAGGAGAATTTTCTTTAGGAATTTTTATGATTATTTTTAATCGTTCTTTCTTTCCATCGTTATCAACAAAATTTCAACGTCTTCCTCTTCAATTTCCTCGTCAATTTTCTACTTATTTACTCAACAAGACAACTCAAAGAAGGCTAAATTTAATGTCTCCGGACCCGTCAAAACACATTCCTTCAAAAATTGCAAGAGAAGCTGGAGACAGTATTTGGTTTTGGGCGGGGATTGATATTTGTTGTTGTTGGGTTAAATGGAGATAATTCTTGAAATTTTACCAACTTTTCATAAGAAAATATTTCAGAGAATATTAAAACGGAGAGGGAATTGAGAATTATTAAAATTAGAAAAAATGCCATTATTTAATTTAATTAAAAATTAATTTAAAAAGGCAATCATTAAATTTTAAAATTAATTTAAAAAAGAAGTCACAGGAAATAAAGACGTAAAGGGGAAATAGTCTCGAGAAAGTGCATTGAATTTGTAATAGACAGGGGAAATGCCGCAATATTTTTAAATTAATGTAGTTCCGTTAGAAAATGGTGTAAATTTAATATAGGTAGATTTTATTGGCATAGACAATGGGAATTTAAGGTCTCATACTCTCAAGATATAAGTCTCGATGTGAGGATTATTTTATCTAACGTAATTGAATTGATCAGATCATCCTACCTAAAGCTATAGCCTACTAAATATCAAAAATCCCGATTGCGCGTACTTGTTCGCCTTTACCTTTAAGTAGAATATTCTGATCAAATCAGTCCTGTTAGCTAAAATAATCCTCACATTTAGAGCTTTCGTTTGATATATAATTTATTTAAATCGGTCAAGGATGAAAAAAGTTATGGCCTAAAACAGTATTTTCCCCCACCTATATTTAATTTCAATATTTTACGCCTATTTGGGATAAAATGTCATTTTGTCATTTTTAATTTTCTCTCTTCTTCTCTTCCATACTATTTCGTCTCTTTGTCTTTCTTTTTATGTTTTTCTTTTCCCAATATTCTGCCAATACCACATTTTGCCAATAAGGCTAAAAATTGACATTTTGTCAACACAGCCTTATTGGCAAAATGTGACTTTTTACTCTTACTGGCAAAATGTCCTCGAACCATATTTTCCTTTCCTCTTTAAATTCCATTAAAATTAAATTAGGAGAATTTTCTTTAGGAATTTTTATGATTATTTTTAATCGTTCTTTCTTTCCATCGTTATCAACAAAATTTCAACGTCTTCCTCTTCAATTTCCTCGTCAATTTTCTACTTATTTACTCAACAAGACAACTCAAAGAAGGCTAAATTTAATGTCTCCGGACCCGTCAAAACACATTCCTTCAAAAATTGCAAGAGAAGCTGGAGACAGTATTTGGTTAAGTTTTAAGCAAATTTTAATTAGAAAAAATTCTTTTGAAGGGTAGAATTTGTTACTTTGGCAACAGAAACGAAAGCAGTTAATTTGGGACAGGTTTTTTTCTCTCAAGCTTAAAAATAAAAAAAAATTTTTACAGGGATTCACTAATGATGCAATCCCAGCGTTGCTTTCTAAACATTTACAGGATGTGGCCAAGTCTCCTGAAAGGGTTGACAATCACCAAGTATATTTTTTTGATTAATTCAAAAATTTTTATTTATTGGCGAGGAAGTGGTTATTTTTAAATTAATTTTTTGACTATCCTTTGTAAGGAGTTTAGCTGGAATTGAGGGATTTTTGTATGAAGAAAGCAAGCATTCTCTAGCGTTTTGGGGAATTTTTTTGAATTTTTTAATTAACTAGTCCTTGTAGACTTTTGGTGGTGTCACTTGGGAAAGCCATCCATGGGGGAAGGAAGATATTTCTTTAATTCTTTTTCTACTTGAAATTTTTTTGTTTCATTAATCCTAAAATGATGGATTCCCCCAAAAAATCCTTCCAAAAAGACTTTATTGTTAATCTATTGTTAGGCTATTAAAGTCTGGACATAGACAAGCTAAAAAATTTTTTTGGAAATCCCCGGATAGCTCTAAGTGCCTGTATCTTGCTTTCAAAAAAATCTTGAATCCAGTTAGTTACAGATAAAAATTAATTTTTTCTTTTTTTTTCAACAGTACACAAGAGGTTATGGCCATCAACGTCTAGTAAATGTCTTATCTCAATTATATTCCCAACTTCTCAGTGTTGAAATAAATTCCCAAACGGATATATTAATTACTGTTGGAGCTTATTTGTCTTTGTATTATGCATTTATTGGCTGGTTAAATCCGGGAGATGAAGTTATTAGTAAGTTTTTGAATTTATTTTAAGGAAGGGGGGGGGGGTGGGTAAGGTTGCTTCCCTTTTGGGGAGCGAAAATAAAAAAAACAGGGAATTTTATGGGTAGTTAATGGAACCAGGAGAGCCTTAGGGAATCTTTTGAAAAGTTTCCTATGGAGCAGATAAAAATTAAGGGAACATTAGATTTAGGGAGAGTTTCTGGAAGTGTTTGAAAATTATCCCTACGGTTCAGAGAGAACCTCGAAAAGATTTTTGGAAGGCAGTTTCACTTTGGAAGGGTTAATATTTAATTAATGGTTAAAAAATGTTTTTTTTGATCATCTAAATTTCTAAAAAAATTTCAGTTTTTGAACCAGCATATGACTCTTATGTTTCTCAAATCAAAATGGCTGGAGCTATTCCAATCCCTGTTGTTTTAGAATTGGATCCAAATGCAACTAGTAGTGCTGGCTATGTTTTGAATATAGATGTTGTTAAAAGCAAGATTACTCCAAAAACAAAAATGATTGTGTTGAATAAGTATGAATTTTTTTTTTAAATTTTTGAGGGTTCTGGGGATTGTCAGGCAGGAATTGGGGATTGATCGGGCTACCTATTTTTTTTTCCCATTCTTACCTTATCCCTGGAGTACATTTCTCGGTCTATTTCGGTCTGCTTGTGAGAGTTTTGTTATATTTCGACTAGTTTGGTTGGACTGTGTCGATTTGCATTAAAATTAACTGACTTTGAAATTTTTATGTTTACTTTGGGTTGTGGGCAAATTGTGATTGTGATAGACTTTTCTTTGAATTAGTTATTTCTCCTGGATTTTCTTTAAAAATATTTTTTTAAATTTTTTCTTAATTTTTTATAATTTTTCAAGTCCAAATAACCCAACTGGAAAATTATATACACGCTCTGAATTGGAACAATTGGCTAAAATTGCAATTGAAAATGATTTGATTGTTTTGACTGATGAAGTTTATGAATGGATGTTTTATCCTGGAGGGGAAATGATTAGATTTGGTTTGGAAAGTTTTTTTAAAAATTAAAAAAAATTTATAAAATTTTTCTAGCAAGTCTGCCAGGAATGTATGAACGTACAATAACTATTGGAAGTGCTGGAAAGGTATTTTCTGCAACCGGGTGGAAAACTGGATGGTAAAAATAATTTTTAGAATTAAAATGAAAATGAAAAATTTTTTTCTAGGTCGATTGGACCAAAATGGCTTCTTGAACCTATGAAAAAAATTCATGAAAATTGTGGTAAAAAATTTAAAATAATTTTTTTTGAATTAAAAATAAAATTATTAATTAAGAAAATTTTCAAATAATTTTTTAAATTTTTTTAAAAATCAAAAAAAAATTTTTTTTTTCAAAGTTTTTGCCTGCCCTACCCCAATACAAGAAGCTTTAGCCCGTTCATTTGAAGAAGAATTGCTGTTATGGAAGGAAGGCAAATTTAATCAAAGTTATTTAAAAAATGGAATAATTGCTGAACTTTTACCTAAACGTGACCTTTTGGCAAAATATTTAAAATCTGCTGGGTTTAGACCAATAATTCCGGAAGCTGGATATTTTATGATTGCTGATTTTAGTCATTTGGGTAAGGGGAAATTGTAAATTTTAATTAATTAGACATTGTCTCTCTTATATAAGTAGACAAGTTTTATGCACTATCTCATTCTTTGTCTAACCACAGCCTGTAAAAATAAATTCCAGAATGTGTCTATATTGTATTTTCCGGAATGTGTATTTCATTTTATAGTTAACAATGTATTTTCCGGAATATATTTCTATTTTCCGGAAGGTTTTATGTGTTTCATATTTTCTGGATTGTTATATTATTTCCGGAATATATTTTTATACTATATGTATTTTCCGTAACGTGTTTCTATATATTTATTTTCTGGAATATATTTTTATATTCATAGTTTCCGGAATGTGTATATTATTTCCGGAATTGTATTATATGTATTTTCCGGAATGTGTTTTATGTTTTCCGGAACGTATTTTTCAGTCATAAAGGGCATAACGAATATGTATTTTCCGGATAGATTTCCGGATACATACAAAGCGAGAGAGCGCATATTTCTATATAATTTTTAAGAGAGACAAAATCTATAATATATTATTTTTAATTAAAATATATGTCTGCTTAATTATAATTAAAAAATCTTTTTTTAAAGATGGTTCTTCTTCATTTCTTGCCAATAGAAAATCAGAAAATGGGGAAGGAATAGATTATGATTTTTGTAGATGGCTATGTAGAGAAAAGGTGATTTTTAAAAATTAAATTTAATTAATTTTTATTTTTTAAATAGAAATTGGCAGGAATACCTCCATCAGCATTTTATTCTCCTCAAAATAGACAAGGAAATGATCATTATATTCGACTTTGTTTTTTTAAGGTGTGAAATTAAAATATTTTTTAAATTTTAATTTATTTTTTAGAAAGATGAAACTCTTCAACAGGCTATACAAATTTTGGGAGATTCGTTTGGTGCTCATAAATGAATAAAAAAATAAAATTTTAGTCAGACGATTTTAATTGAAAATTTTATAATTTTTTGGGTTCATTTCTAGTTATTAGAGTGTTTAAATTTTATTACAAAAATTCTGTAATATTATGTTATTGTTTAATAAAAATTTTTGAATTTCATTAAAATTGAGGGTTATCTCTGAAACATTTATGTCAAAAAGTTGTTCAGAGATCTAGATTGTAGTTCTAAAAATTCAATACCTTAAATGAGTATTTTTTATATGAGATAGTTAAAAGTCGTGTGTCTTGATGAATTCAATTCGAATTTGCATGTTAAAATTTTTTGAAATTTTCTCGAATTTGAGTTTTTTTGATATAATCTTTTTAAAATTTAAAATAATAAAAAAATATTTATTAACAAAATCTAAATCATGAAAATCTATTAAATATTAATCTACATAATTATTTGCTTCGATTCCTAAAAAATAAAAAAATAGTTGTGTTAAATATTTATTTAAAAACTCATTATAAGCGACTTTACTTGAACAAAAATTCATTAAATAGAGGTGCCTAGGTGAAGGTTCCTGGGAAATCTCCGAATATCCGGAAAATCCCACCGATATCCACCCTAAAATTCTCGGATATCCTTTCTTTCTTCGATTCCGGATATCTGAAATCTCCCACCTTATTGTCGATTATATAGAGGTTTTAAATTAATTAAATATGGCAAAAATAAATTTATATAAGGAGGGAGGTTTAATGAGGTTTACAAACGGCAGTGATATATAATAGATGATATAAAATAAAGTACATATCTCTAATGACTTGGATTAACCCGTAAGGCTAGATATAATAGAAAATTAGACAAAAATATAAAATTGATATTAATTAATAAAGGATGATACTAGAGAGAAATTGAGATAATCTTATAGTTAGGGTATACATAGGTTGGGGTATTATCTCTTGATATTTTAATAAACTGAGTTTTGGGAATGCCCATTTGAGGGGGACGATGGCATGTATAAGAATAAGCTGGGTTAACATTGCAGCTGGAGAAAATTCGAGATAATGGCTGCTATGTTAAGATAACGACCATTATCGGTATGGCCGACCATAAGCGGCCATACCGACCATCACTGGCCATTAAAATGCGATAAATCCAGCTGAACTTATATTGCGATAAGAGAGCCGAGGTTTTGGTCTGATTCATGGAACCGTGAAGCTATCAGGATTTTTGAGACGTCAGAAACCGGAGGAAAACATTCGCTATGGAACCCTTCCTTTGTCCCCTTACAATTGTCTTCAGGAACCGGGAGAACTATTGAACCCTCCGATTTCCTGTATCCCATCTCTTGTATCCTTTTTAAATTACCCTAAGATGATCTTCAATTTCTCTCTTAACAAAAAATTAATAACACAAAATTTAAACAATAATTTCTCTCATTACTCTCCCACTTGCCCTTCCTCCTACTCCTCCATTATTATTAGAATTATTTATTTTTGTTGTCAAATCCCTTCCATTATTATTTCCATATGGGGATATACTCGAATTATTCGAAGAACAACTTCCATTGTTACTCTGCAATAATTGTTCATTACTACTTGAAGGGTTATTCAATTCGTTTTGTTGGAGCTGTTGTTGTTGTTGATTATACCCTTCATTATTTATTTGTTTTCTATCTAGACTTGTATCTAATCCATTACTTCTCCTCATTATTGATGATTTTGCTTTAAAAAAATTTTTTTTGAAATTTTAAAGCTAATTTCTCTGATTTTAACTGTCTTTCTCGGTTTTATAAATCTTTTTCCGGAGCCCGTGGAAGCGTCGAAGACGTAATCAAGGAACCGAAAAGGACTGGGTGTAATTTTTAATGCAGGAACTAGAGCTTAAATCTTTAGATATTAGAGATTGGAACAGTGTGACCAAGAAATGTAAAGAAATTCAAATGAGCTATCAGAAAGGTTTGAGACACGGTTCCTTTAGAAAGAAGTATCTCAGAAAAAGAGGGTGGATTCTAGGGGGGCTGTGAGGATTTTTAAAAACAGGGATGATCTTAGGAAGATTTTAAAGAGGAATGAGTAGTTAATGAAGATTCTCTCTGTCTCCCCGATTTTTTTCAAAATTCCGATTTCCATCTTGGATTAAAAAGGTCATTTCAAATTTATCAAAAGGCCTTTAGTAAATATTCCACTCAAATTTTAATAGTTAAAATATCAAAATTCTCACCATTCCCTCCCAAAAATGCAGATGAAAATTCATTAAAAAACTTCGAGTAAGGATTTAAAGGCCTTTGTTGTCCAAATTGTCTAATACCCCCAGGGGTACTCTCAGCAGAACTGTTTTGATGTAAACTATTTTCTACACAAACTATTCCTCCTAAAGAATTTGCATTTGTAAATTCTTGTAGAAGGAAAGGATCATTGGAATATTCGTCAAAAGAAGGCTCTATTTGGTTAGGGGATAATTGGTGTTGGGAAGCTGAAGGGTCGTCAAAGGAATGTTGTTGTTGTTGATGTTCCCCTTGTTGTTGTTCCTTCCATTCAGTGGGGTCGCTAAAGGAGAGAGAATAGATTTTACGAATTAATGGTACGACGGATACATTTTGGAACAAGAAATTGAATCCCGAATTACCCCATATAGAGATCCTGCCGGCATAAAATTATTGATTTCAGAAAACATGGAGGTGATTAACATAGACTAAGACAGATCAAGAGTGAACCCAAGACGTCTTGGACCTAGCGGAATCAAGTCGGAATTCGTCTCGATTTCAGTAGAAGGGCAGTAGGAGTCGGGAGGGCAGTATTCTTGAACCTCATATATGAATATAGGATAAAGAGCTATGTTTACTACTGAGTCAGTTATGCCCCTCAATATCGTATCTATCTCTGAGAAAAAATTTAAAAATAAGACCCTCTCCAGGAAGGGAGATAATTGCGATCTCTCAAAGTCTCTTTATGGTCACTCAAAGTCTCTTTACGGTTACTCAGAGTCTCTCAAAGTCTTTTGTCTTTAAATTTCTTGTCTTCCAAAAGGTTTTGCCTCCTAAATTTCCCAAAAACCTACTTGGAATCAACCACATCACGTTCACAAGATTTACTATTAACCCCCCCCATTCAATGCAATAACAGCAGAAGCAATAGCCGAAGAAGAGTTATTATTTCCACCCAAAGTAAATACACCACTATCTGATTGAGAACCGTTTACTGGTGTGTTCTTTGAAGATGAATTCGTATTGAAACCATTTTGCTTTTTCCCGTTGATTCTAAAATTGGATAAGAATGATTGGAAAGACCGGAATCCGTGGGGATTTAGATTGAGTCTTGGGAGGGTATTACACATCTAAAGAGTTATATATAGCTAGTTTATTTTCATAATTTCCGTTTAAATCAGCAAGGAACATCAGAGCTATATTAAGGATATTATAGAGCTGATCCTAAAATAAAAGGGTCATCACAAGCCAGGACATTGAGTCAATGGATAGGTTATTTAGAGATCAGACCAAATCTCGTACAAAGATATCGTTTATTGAGAATCGATTTTATTCAGATATATAATTTTCGTATGATCCTTCAAGTCTGTTATTTGGTTCAGATAAGACCGTGTTTATAAGAAAACCCCTATGGTTATTTGTTCGAAAGAAAGTCACACGACTTTTAAGGGAGTGTTTTAGTTCCGGCATGAAGGTAGGTTCTATTTCAATCCAAATTTTCCGTTAGAAGTTTTTCCTCTAGAAATTTATTTCCTCATTTTAAATAGATACCTTTCAATAGCAGCTCCATTCAAAGTAATCCTCTTCATAGCCCCTTTAGCCGCTGGACCTCTAGCTCTTAATTGAGCATTTGCTGCTTTTCGTAAACGCTGTCTTGTACAGATTAATACAATCAAAATTGAAGCGCTGATAATACAAACAGCAAGAATAATGAGTGTAAGCATCAAAAAAGAATTGGCCGAGGAATAATCGTCCACTAAAAAATTTTAATTTTTCAAAATTTAATTTGGGCAGGTTTTCGTTAAGGACAAGCATCTTCCCTTCACTTTCCGTTCTCCTAGATAACATATAATGTAAGGGAAATGAAAAGATTAGCCAATAAAATAACCAAGAATTTCTGAATCTGAGGTACTTTTTGAGAAACTAAGACAAAAGACGGGTCAAGACGGAATCTAGAACGACTTGGCCCAAAGCGGAAGCCTGTTTTTCGTCCTAGAACATAGTAAGGTGAATCTAGGCTTATCTAGAAGTTACCTATGACTATGAACAAAAGATCAGAATCCAGGGAAATCTCAGGGTCCAACAAAATTAACTTGGGATTTATTAAAATTTAGTGGATCCAGAAGAGCAATTCTGGTATTTTTAGTTAATCAGCTCTTCAAAATTTTCAAATAAAAATTTTTGTTTTTATTAAAATAACATTAAAATGAGAAGGAAAATGCCCAATATTTATTAAGCATTCTTCCAAGGGTTGGTGTCATCTTTTCTGGTCCTTCCCCTCCCTCAGTTCCCTCAGTCCTCTCTCCCTCATTTAAAATTATTCCCTACAATTTGCACAAAATTGCAAATGAATGAGGAAGAATGTGTAAATAATATATTTTTTTGGAGGGATGGGAAAGAGAAAATAGTGAAGATGAAAGTGTTAAATATATTTTTCTGGAACAGATGGCCCCGTTGGGGGAAGTAAAATGACCTTGAAAATTGAAAAATATTTGAGGGAAATTTTGGGGAAATAAATTTTTAAAGAAAATATTGAGTTAAGGAATATTCAGAAAATTTCAAAGATTCCAAAAAAAAATTTTTTCGCCCTACCAAAAATTTTCATTGGAGCAGAACAATGCCGAAGATCATCAACATTACAGTAACGCACTTTAAAACGTTCAGAAGGCATTATGTCGGAGAAAGTACCGTCAGAATCGGTTAATGGAAAACAACTGAAACGATTAAAGGGTTGATTAGATTCTGAATTTTAACTTAAAAATTTTAATTTTTCCATTATTCTGATCAGAATTTATTATAGGAGGGGTTCTTAAAATTCTGATTTTTAAAATCGAGATTTCTTAGAATTCTGATTTTCAAGATTCTGATATGTAAATTAAGATCCTTAAAATATTCTGATTCCTATAATTCCAGTCCTTAAGATTCTGATTTTTATAATTCTAGTTTTTTTTAAATTCTGCTTATCATAATTCTGATTTTTTAAAATTCTGATCCTGAAAATTCTGATATTCCAAAATTCTGATATTAATTTCAGAACTTGTGATTTTTAAAATTCTGATATTTAAAATTCTGATCATCAAAAAATTCTGATCCTCAAGATTCTGATTTTTACAATATTCTGATTCTTTTAAAATCTATCCAAAACCCTCACTTAACACTCCTCATCTGTCCATCCTCACTCGAAGCCGCATAAACCAACGCACAATGTCCAGCAGAATATTTAAGTGGTTGTACTACAAGCTTCCGTTCTTTAGTTAAATAAACAACACTTTCAGGGGCCTGTATATCACCCCCACTTTCATTTACATCCTCACTACTTGCTGTACTTATAGCTGTCCAATCTGAAATCCCACGAGAATTCCTAGCCCTCACACGGTACCAGACGCTTGAAGCTGGGCGTAGTTTGGTTATGTTGTAGACGAGGAAGGTTTCGGTTAGGGCAGAATCGTCGTTCTTAAAAGGAAGGGATATGTTTCTGGTTTTAAAAATCAGAATTCTGGTTCTGTAAATTCTGATTTTGGAATTCTGGTTTTCCAAACTGATTCCAATATTCTGATTCCTAAAAAATCAGAATTCTGGTTCTCAAAAACAGAATTCTGATTTAATGAAAATCTGATTTCAAAATTCTGGTCCTTAAAAAATCAGAATTCTGATTTTTAAAAAATCAACATACTGGTTTTCTGAAATTTTGACTTTTAATTCTGGTTTCTAAACTCATGTGATTTTAGAGGATTCCACTAGGATTCCAAAAAGCCCTTCAAAAATCCACTCAAAAATTACCAAAAACAAAGAAAGTGTTGTCCAATTTCCAGATCCAAAAACAATATGTTCTGGCTCATTCTCACTCGATGGCCTTCCAGTAAAAGGGTCTACAGCCCTAAGTTCCAATTCCAACGTTTGCTTCTCCCCACCATCAAAACCTGGCCGCCAACCCAACAAAATCCAGTCAATTCCCGATTGAAGTTGTTTTGCAAAGATAGGGGTTTGTGGAAGGCCTGGAAGGATTTTAAGGGAAATTCAACAGAAAATTCGAAGGAAATTCGCAAAAATTCACCTTTAGGTTGAAACCTAATTTCCACAGAACTTTTCCTTCTTCCAGCCCCATTGCTAGCTTCACAGACAAAAATGCCGTAATCGTGTTCCTCTACACTGTCCAGACTTAGAACTGATTCAAACTCGTCTATAGCACCTATAGGAAGGGATTGAATCTTTTTTTAAAGGGAAAATTAGACTGACCAGAAACTCTACTCAAACTCAATTTGTAACGATGTTGTTGTTCTATACCTCTTTTAAATGTTGCAGTATTTCCTCCTGCAATTTCAACACCATCACGGGTCCAAATAATGCGGGGTTCAGGCCTTGCTGAGACTAGACATGCAATCTTTGCCTGAATATGAATGGGAGATTTATGCATGAATAGGGGAAGATAGAGATAGTCTCTCTGGGGATAACTGGAAGATAATCATGCTTGTAGGGGTAAGCATGTTGATAGGTGTTTGGATTCCTTTGGTAACATTATCTCGGTATCGTTAACAGCAAAAATCGGTATTGGGATTCAGCTATCGGAAGCTCCGGGGTTTCTGATTCCAGAAATTCCAAACAAAAAACTCCCTTGTGGACCAAAATCATCTTCAGAATAACGGTAGGTGGGAAATAGATACAAGTAACTCTCGGCATACTTAACCAATCCAAGGCTCAGAGGAGGAACGTTACACTCGGTATGCATAACCAGACTCAGAGGAGGAACCTTGACCCAGAGGAGGAATATCCCGTTGATAAAATAGAGGTGAATAATTTAGAAAATCTGGGTGCGAATATTTCTAAAATAATCCTTCTACCTTTTCCCCTATATCAGCAGAAGCCATAGCCATGCCCTCACTCAACTTCTGATTTAAAATTATCGGTTCATGCACAACACTTATAGCCATAATTGAAGATGCAGCCTCAGCTGTAGGAGAATTCTCCGCTATACAGGCATAATTTCCTTTATCTGTCCAACTTGTTGGGTGTACTAGTTGAAGAGAACTTTTAACAGTTACAGGGCAAGGCTCTCTTTGTTGGTTACAACTTAAAAGAGTTTATTAAATAGAGGTGACCTCTTGAAGGGTGTTCAATCATTCTTAAACTTACCCAGGTACTGTAGCCTCTCTATGCTCCTGAACAGCCCAAAGCCTTGAAGAATCAAGTGGCAAAGCTTGCCCATCTTTTAACCAAAATATTCGTGGCCTGGGAAAGCCACGAGCTTCACATTCAATTTGGACATCAACAGAATTAGAAGACAAAGTTCTTGTAGGGAGTAAAGGACGTATAAGACGAGCTGGTTCCACAACCTTTATTAAAAAATTTTGTAAAGTATACTCATTTCCTTCCGAATACCCACCATAATCCTTACACTACTCTCTTCAGCCTGCCCAATATCATTATAAGGCAAACATCTATACAATCCATTATCTCCAAGTTTAGCTTCTGGTATTTTCAATATTGCTTTATTCCATTGTTGTTCTTTCCCAAATTGGTCATTGCTCATTCCTGGCCCTCCCCATTTGAACTTTGCTGGAGGATTGCCTATATCTCCGTCTGTAGAGCAACTCAAAATGATGGGCTCTCCAATATTTACAACCAGACGCTTTGCTGAAATTATGGCAGGGCCTGGACGTCTCCGAACATCAATGAAAATAGAAGAGGATCCTGTACGTACTGATGATTGGGTAGAAGTGAGAGGTAAAGTGTTCCAAGAGGTACAGGTAAAGTTGCCGGCATGGGCACTGAAATTGTTTAGAGTTGGAATTAGAAGGAAGGATAAAGGTAGGAAACGTCTCTCCTTCAAGCACTCTCCTATCAAGCACTCAGTCTCTCCTATTAAGCACTCCTATATAACTCCCTTCTATTTAATATATCCCATGCTATTGAGGTCCAGAGGTCAGTAGGAAGTACTGAAGATGACTGAAACTGTCAGAAATCGGTAACAAATGTTAGCTGTCGGAAATCGAAGTTCCAGTGAATCTCTATTGCTCCATTCTCATAGCCTATATCTCAGCCTAACTCCGAATTTTATGGCCTAATATATAACACACCACATTCCCAATTTACTTATCCAACTACCCTGACACTCTTTAAATCCCAAAATGTCCTTTACCGATTTATCGAGTCTATAACCAATTTAGACCCGTTCTGTTTAACTCCTCCAGGCCCACTCCAAGAGACAGCCTCAACCCTAGGGTTTGCATCACTTTCACATTCCAATACCAGCCGTTCTCCTTCAACAGGATTTTCTGTTCCAATAGCCACTTTAATTCTAACAGACGGTCCATAAAGCACATTTAAACGTATTGTCCCAGCACCAGTGTCAATTGTATTTGTAGCTGTACAACGAAACTCCCCTGTGTGTATTCTCTTCATTGCTAGGTGCCATTCACGGGAGAGATGTTGTTCTCCAGTAGGGATGTGTGTCCATTGAAATTGGGTTGGTTGAGGGTTGGCATCAGCTTTACAAATTAAGCGGACGACTTGGCCTTCCTCTACATTGAGTTCTGAAGAGGGTAGAATTTTGACACGTGGAGCGTAGAGAACCTGTGAGAATTTTAAGGGTAATAATTTTTATTTATGTTCCTTCAGAATTCACTGATATCAACATGTATTGGAATATTTAGGTTAAGGTTAGGGATACTTAAAGGTTAAGGATACGGTAGATTGAGAAAGGGGTGGATTTGCAGGGCAATACTAGATTAAAGTCGATAGTCATGGTAGCTGATCTGGAGGCCGAAAATGCTTGGTAACCGTGTCAATTGTATCTCATATAAGGTTAAGGATAACTGCCAATCTAATAGCTGAGGATGACAGCTAATCGGTATCTGATAACCAGGATGATAGTAGCTAATCCATACGGGTCATAGGAACTCATTTTTGCCCCATATTTAAATTAACCTTCCATTATTCAACATAAAAATAGACGTACATTCAATCGTTCTGTATGTGTTTGCAATCGTTCACCTTCCTTCAATGCTCGATTCCAAATTTGACAAAGCATATAAGCCCCATTATGTTCACTTTTTACGTGCATCCTTTAAATTTTTTAAAAATCACTCAAATCGGATCAAATGTCATCTCCCTCTAAAACTTACTGTAATGTTGAAATACTCTTTCCAGCATTAGCCTCAGGCCTCTCGATATACCACCCTTCAGGGACCTTTGTTTTATTGTCAAAAAGCCATTGGAAATGGGGTGAAGGGTTGCCTCCTGTAGATTCACAACGAAATGTGGCCAAGTCTCCCTCACGTACAGCTTCGGTAGGTTGTGTAGTTATGCTTGGTGTCTGTGGAGGTACTGTAAAAATATATTTTTTATTTCATTTGGAAAATTCGACACTTTGAAATTTTTGAAAAATTTTTAATTTTGGGCATTTTGAAATTTTTGACCATTTTGAACCTTTACATTTTAATTTTTGGCGTTTTTAAAAAATTCAAAAATTTTTCTTAAAAACTTGATCTTTCCCCCATCCTTCTTGTCCAAACATTTTTTAAAACCCTTCATTCCCTTATCCTCTTCCCCTATTTTTATAAATGCCGTTATTATTGCGCCTTTATTCTTGCCGAATTTCAGAAAAAAACTAGTAATTCTTTAGGCAAATAATAAAGAAAATATGAGAAGAAAATTGAGTGTTTTTGTTGAGTGTTTTTCTTTTTATTTTTTTGTTTGTTTGTTTGGGCTGTTTAAATTTTTGGTTAGTTTGTTTATAGGAATTTGCCGACTTGAAGGGAGAGAGAGTTTGAGAGAGTCCGTGAAGGCCTAGACTTTTAGACTTTGGAGGGAGAGACGTTTGGAGGAGAACGTTGGAAGAGTTTGTGCCCTCCTCTCTAGAGACGTTGGAGGAGAAGAATAACTGTCCAAGATACTCGAACTTTGGAAGGTTTGAACGGAAACGAGTTGGGACCTTTGGACGATAAGAAAAAGTGCTTTTGAATAGAGAGACTGAGTGACTCTTAAGAGACTCCTAAAACTAAGCATTCTTTCCATTCTCTTTCTATTCCAAAAATTTTTTTCGTTGAAATTCGATCTCATCTTTCTTGAAAAAACAAAGAAAAAAAAGCATAAGAATAGAACTCAACAATTGCACAAATAGGAGGAATGCCACAATTTATTTGCCGAAAAAGGAAGAAATATGAAACTTAAAAATATAGTCAAATCTCATTATAGTTGCTGAAAAATCGTACAATAAAATACATGGTAATGATATCTCTCAGATTTTTTTCTAACTAAAGAATTATTAATTTTTTCAAATTTTTTTCCTCTCACTTTTAATTTACTATTTTTTAAACTGCAACATTTATTAAAATATTAAAATAAATAATTATTTTTGTGCCATTATTTTACTTTTCACCTAAATAATTTATCAATGTCTTAAAGTTTTCTTTTATTTATTTAATGAAAACCTGGGGGGGGGGGGGGGGGGTTTGTGCTCATAAATTTTTATTTTTATCTTCTCACAGAATATTTTTTTAAAAAATTCTTTGAGCTTTGATCTTATCTTGAATGCGCAACGATAATGAAAATATATTATTTTTAAAGAGATGATTAATGGATTTTAATTGAGAGAGAAAAAGTGAAAATGGAAGAGAAAAATAATTTTTAGAATATTATTTTTATTTTTAAGAAAATTTTTAATAAAAAAATTTTTTTTGAAGAGTGCCCAGATAAAATTAGCAAAAAAGTTTAACTATCCGGAATACCGGAAATCTCTTAATAGAACCACGTGCGTCTGTTTTTAGATCCTCTAGTAGAATGTGTTTCTATTAGGGAGTATAGATCAAGATTTTTGATGTGCCTGTTCCTGGACTCTGGAGTTTGATTTATTGACCTGGACCTGTAGTCCAAGAAAAATCCAGGCCCAAAAAACCCCAGGAAGGTAAAAAAATGCCTGGGCCTGGACTCTGGGTACAGGAAAACTCAGGCCTTGGTCCAGACCCAGCCGATCTCTATTAAGGAGTGCTTCTGTTGGAAGGTGTGCTTCTATTTAAGGATATCCGGAATATTCTGGTTTGAATATCGGTTATGAAGTCGCACTGGATCTTACCTTTTAATTAATCATTTAATTTGCTAGATCCCCTCTTAAAAATTTTTAATAAAAAAAAGATGTTGCAAGAAAGAAAGAATTAATTTAGTTGAAAGAGAAAAAGTGTGAAGGAACAGGTTTCAAAAATGTTCGCGCAATAGATCAAAAAATAATAAAATAAAAGAACACCTGTCTTTAGAAAATATAGAAAGTTTTTTAAAGTGTTTATTGCTTGTGGCAAAAAATTTATTTGAACAAACATATGGTGCGCGAAAATTTCTTCTTTTTTTTTAATATTAATTTTTTCGTTTTTTAGGCTTGGCGCGGGTCTTTAAATCGCTCAATTTTAAACTTTTCTTATCCAAATTTTGGATTGGTAGAGACCCTCATGAGGGTCTCTATCACTTCACAAAATTTCATAATTTTAGGTTAATTAATTTAAAAGTTATGCTAAGCAAGTGAAGGCATCTGTTTATTTTTGAGTACCTCCATATTTTCTACCATAACTCAAAAACTACAGTACCTAAAATTTTCAAATTTTGCAGCCTTATAAAAGACACTCTCAAGAATATTACTACAAAATTTCATTTCTCTAACATCACTTTTGGCAATTTTATAGGTTCCCGAAGAAACGTCTCTCCAAATTTATTTTAAAATAATTTTTGAGTACCTCCAAATTTTCTACCATAACCCAAAAACTAATGTATCAAAAATTTTCAAATTTTGCACGCTTATAAAAGACACTCTCAAGAATATTACTACAAAATTTCATTTCTCTAACATCACTTTTGGCAATTTTATAGGTTCCCGAAGAAACGTCTCTCCAAATTTATTTTAAAATAATTTTTGAGTACCTCCAAATTTTCTACCATAACCCAAAAACTAATGTATCAAAAATTTTCAAATTTTGCACGCTTATAAAAGACACTCTCAAGAATATTCCTACAAAATTTCATTACTCTAGGTCCCATTTTGGCAATTTTATAGGCTCGTGACCAAACGCCTCCCTTACATTTTAATTATTTTCTCCCTTCAAATTCACTTCAAAATTAATTTTTAAAATTTATTCAATCCCCTAAATCTTTTTTTAAATTCAATTTTCAACTAAATTTAGACCCTTTCTTTCCTTTTTATTTTCATTTTAATTCATATTTCGATTATTCAAAAATAATCATAATTTTTGTTTCGGTTCACTTAACACCATAATAAGTGTGAAAAAGGTATGGAAAAGTGAATAAAAAAATTTTTTTAAAAGAAAAAGTGATTTAAAAAGAAAAAAACGGATGAGTGATTTAAAGAAAAATTGATTGAGTGAGTTGATGACACTGACCGGTTGTTTGTGAGAAATGATGAGAGAGACTGACTGGTTATTAAGTAGAAGGGGAGATAATGGAGTTGAGAGAGAAGATTTAAATGAAAATTAAGAAGAAGATGATTCTTTGGAAAAATTTTAAAAAAGATGGAGGAAAGGAAAGCCGATTTAAGAGATAAAAGTAAAATTAAAATAGAGAGATTGAAATCAGATTTGAACAAAAATAAAATTTAAATTTTGGAGTTTTCGAGGAACTGGAAGTAAAAGACCACGGACGGGTTAACCAAAGTCTGAAATTCGGACTTCTGATGTAAATAGGAAAGAGCCATGGAAGGTGAATCAAATCAGGAAAACCTTCCGGAAGGAAGGTGATGCAGGAAAGGAAGTCGTAAAAGAGAGGGAGTAAAAGAGAGAGAAAGAGAGAGAGAGAGAGAGAGAGAGAGAGAGAGAGAGAGAGAGAGAGAGAGAGAGAGAGAGAGAGAGAGAGAGAGAGAGAGAGAGAGAGAGAGAGAGAGAGAGAGAGAGAGAGAGAGAGAGAGAGAGAGAGAGAGAGAGAGAGAGAGAGAGAGAGAGAGAGAGAGAGAGAGAGAGAGAGAGAGAGAGAGAGAGAGAGAGAGAGAGGTTTCCAGGTATCTTAACCCGATCCCTTAAAATCCTCTGTCCTTCAGTCAGTCCCTTGAGAAGAAAAAGTTCAAATTTTCAAATTTCGCGCTTAACTTTAATTTTTTTCCTTGCCCCGATTTAATATTAGAGATCGGAATTTTGAAAAAACCGGGACCGGGAACCGGGAAACGGGTTCTGAAGGTCGACCGGAAGGGACCCGGACCGGGAAAACCGGGAATTCCCGTTCCCAGTTTCATCCCGGTCAAAAATGACCGGGACCCGGACCGGGAAACCGGGAAATTTTAAAAAAAATTTAAATTCATTTAAAAATTTTAAAAAGTTATGGGAGTAGTTATTTATTGAAAAATCTGATTTATAAATAGAAGAATTTAATAAATCAGTAAAATAAATCTCCCGATAGGCTCCTCAAATTTTTTTATATCGCCTATATGTATCTATTCCTCATCTAATTCCCTTTAATCCCTCCTAATCCACCTTGATGCTGATTTAATTTTTATTTAATTTAATTTTTATTTACTCCCTCCAAATCCACTCTGATCTTCTCTGTGCAAGAGTGATATCAGGGATTAAAAGAGATGTCAAGAGATTCACGTATTTGTTGGGTAGCATTAAGAGAGATTGTGGAGAAAGACCTCCAACCACCTATATCACCTGATATCTACCTATTCAAATCCATTCAATTGGAAGGCAATATCAGATGATTAAGGCAGATCTAATGGATTTATTTGTTAGAGGGATAAAGATGGCTTAATCACAGGTCCCTTGATAAAATCGCACTATACACTAAATTACCTCAACTTTTCCTCCAATAATACCTCCAAATTTCTCCGTTCCAAATTCTTCTACGAAAATTTTGAGAATTTAGGAAGGCCAAACAGCCAAATTTCTTCCGTTTTCAGCGCCGCAGGCGAAAATTTTGAGAAATTTTGTAAAATCTCCAATATTTTAAGTCAAAAATCAAAACGCCAAGCAAAAATATTTAAAATTAGCTGCTAGAATTTTTCCCGGTTTCCCGGTCCAAAAAAAGCCGGGATCGGGAACGGGAAACGGGAAATGAAAATTAACCGGCCGGGACCCGGACCGGGAAAACCGTGAATTCCCGATCCCGGTTTCATCCCGGCATCTTCAAAAAAGCCGGGAAAAAGGATCGGGAAACCGGGAAACGGGACCGGGTCCCGATCCCGTTCCGATCTCTATTTAATATTTCCCACGATTAAAAAATACAACTTCTCTCATTCGTAATAAAATTTTTTTAAATTTCCTTGTTTCAACTTTAAATTTCTAATAAAAATTCTTTGTTTTTTCATCCTAATTTTATTTTTAAATTTAAAATTAAGCGAGGAAAAAAATTTTTAACTAGGTCATGGCCTAGTTTGATCAAAAAATTTCAGAAAAAAATTTTTCCCCACCTAACACAACCACTTTAGCAGGTTCACTTAACCATTGGGTCTGTGTACCAGAATCTACCAATGTGCAAAAGAAACGTCCGTTGTCACGATCAAATTGGACACCCAAAAGGCGTAGATTGTAAGATCCATCAGTAGCAACGTTATCAAAAAGTTGGTAGCCATCCGGGGCTGAAGGGGTGTAGAGGAGAGCATTGCGAGATATTAGCCTATAAGGGAAAATTTTCAAAAAATTCAAAAAATTTTCCTCCTTACTTTGGCCTATCCTCCACAACTTTAGTCCATTCCAACTCATATCGACTTCTATCTCTAAAGGGCTCAGCTACAGAACAATTTAATAAAGGCCCAGGTTCTCCTTCACGTGCTAGAAAATTTTCTTCTCCAGGCTCGATAGTAAAAGGTCTGGAAGTTTGGAGTGGAAATGTTGCTGAGTCTGAGGAGGAAACTGTAAAAAATATTTCTAGTTGGAAAGAAATTTTTTAATTTTTGAATGACATAAATGTCAACAAGTACTGACTCTCGTTATAACCTTGCTGAGAGTAGCTACACATTCAAGCCACATTCTCAGAGCTATTGGATCTTTCCGATGGAGTATCCCTCTAAAAACCCAATGGATTTAACCCGACAATGATTAAAACCTCGCTCAAGGTCATTTCCTTACAGGTGGACTTATAACGGGAGTTAATTTTATTAAATTTATTTCACTGGCTTAAAAATAAGTTTAATACAATTGATCTCCGATAGTCAAATGTATTGGCCAGTCAAAATAACAATTAATTCATTTAATTTTATCCCGTGGTAAACCTGATTTTGGTTGTTCAGAGGGTATGGAGAGCCGCCACAGATATCCTCTCTATTTAAGAGACACCACTTTCTAAATAAGAGTAGTTTCCTGATCAAGGGTCTGCAGATTAAAAGCATCCACTAAAATCCAAGGGCATACTCCCACAAGAATACTTAACCCTCTCTAAAGTCAATCGTTTAAGGGAAGGTTTATAACTAGAGTTTAATAAGGAAAGTAATATAAAAGTAAATAAGGAAAGCGTAAATAAAAAAAAAAAGTAAATAAAAAAAAAAAAATTTTCTTAATAAAAAGTAAATAAAAAAAAAAATTTTCTTATTCTAAAAAAATAAGAAAAATAAAAAAAATAATATAAAAGTAAATAAGGAAAGCGGCTTTTTTTTTATAACGAGAATTTAATTTAAAAAATATTTTGATGGTTTTTAAGTAAATTTTATAAAAATTATTAAATTCAAAATTAAATCTTTCAATTTTCACCTTTAAAATTGCCACAAAAAATGGTGTAAATTAACAATAAAATGGGCAATTCTCTTCCAATAAAATTAAAATTCATTTAAATTGTTGTCTTAAATTAATTTTTAAATTTTTTAAATTTTTTTCACAGATTTTTTATAAAAAAGGTAAATGTGTTTTGTTGTTGTTTTTATTCTCCCACTAGTTCAGAAGCAAAAATAAAAATAGAAAGAAAAGCCGAAAGACTTGGAAAGGGAGCAGCTTTTTTGTGAAAGACTGGCAGACTTTTTATTTCTCTATTAAATTTAAATAAAAATTAAAAAAGGGAAGGAAGATTTCTTTAAAAAAATTACAAAAACAATGTATTTAATTACCATATTTTTTGATTAAAAATTAAAATAAAATAAAGCAACAAATATGTAAATAAGGAAAGCGGATTTGTAAAGAATGCCATAAATGATAGGTTAAATAAGGAATAAAATTAAGGGGGATTTTAACAAAATCAGAAGAACTCCTTTCGAATTATATGAGATAAATTACTGAAGCTAAAAATGGTTAGGGAAAAACGAGAAGATGGGAGTCATCGTTTCTTTTCGTTGAATTTTCGTGAATCTCTGATGTGGGCGGGAGGGGGGGTATTGTGGGTGTAAAAAATTTTGCACGTAAAATTGGAGCTAAAAATAAATCACTCAGGCAGTTCTCCCGCATAGGGCCAACAAAAATTTAAAAAAGTGTACGTAAAACAGAGGTTTTTGAAAACTGGAGGTATCACTCAAGGCACTTCCCTACATAGGGCCAACCAAAAATTTAAAAAAATTATATAAACAGGTATATGAAAAACTGGAGGTATGTAAAAGCAATGTATGCGAATGCATAAAGCAGAATGGTATTCAAAAAAAATTTTTTGTATTTTAAAAAATTAAAAAAAATTTTTATTACTTGCAAAAAAATATTTATTTTTAGTAATAAAAAAAATTTTTTTTGGCAGGTTATATGAATTAAATAATTATTTATTTGTATAGATGGATACATTATAGAATATTAATTCACTAAATTGCCCAAAAAAATTTAAAAAAAAATAAAAATGCATAGATCTCGACTAAAAACTTAAATTAAATATTATTTTGTTTTGCGTCAAAGATTAAGGCAAAAAATGCAGAAATTGCCAAACTACAATTTTTTTTATTCAAAAAAAATTTTTTTTTGAATAAAGTTTTTGCTTATAAACACAGCAGCAATACCCTCTCTTCAATAAATTATTTTTAAAAATTAAAATAAAATTCTTAAAAAATTTCTAAAAATTTCCAAAAAATCCCTGAAAATGAATAAATATTTAATTTTATCCTTTTTTGTTTTCTATTGTATTAATTTACAAATTAATCAAATTGAAGGCCTTCTTGGCGAAATTAAACCAAATTGTGGTTGTGATCCAGGATATACTTGTTGTTATAACCATTATTTGTCTTTAAAAGGGGGTTATAATGAAGAAAAGCCTACTATACGGTTAATTTTTAAAAGGATTTTAAAATTAAAATTTTCAAGTCACAAAGATATCTTTGAAAAAATACATCCAATATACACCTATTATAACAAAGGATAATCTAAAATCAAATTCTTATAGGACACAAATACAAAACTACATATTGTGCCAACTAAACTTATATTTATTTGATCGTTTGTGTACCCGGGGTGTGTCGAAACAGATTTTAAAAAATGAAAGGCGAAAGTCAAAAAAAAACGAAGGGGGATATCATACGGCATACAAAGTTGTGTACGGCACACTGGAGACCGGCGCGGGAAGGGATCTCGACGGGATTTTCCGGGATCCCGATCCCGAAATCCCGGATTTTTTTGATTTTCGGGATCAACCGGGATCCGGGATTTTTTCGGGATTTATCCCTCGGGATCCCGTCCCGGCATCAGTCAAGAAAGAAATCCCGACTCGGAATCCCGGATCTGCGATTTTGCCGGTCTCTACGGCACACAACCTTCGTTCAATAAAAATAGAGAGGGATTTTGACAAAAAATCGGGATCCTGATTTTGGAATAATGATCCCGATTCCAGATCCTGACACGGGATTGGGATTGGTCGAAGATAAAATTGGGGCTGGAGCAGACAAAGGATATATATCAGGGACTAGTCGAGCTATTAGTGTCATCCTGAGGTTGATATTAACTTTTACACTATCATAAACAAATTGTTTATTAGCATAATTAATTCTATAAAAATTTAGATGTTGCAAGAATTGTAATGATAAAAATATAGTTGGCAACTGTAAAATACCACCAGGCAAAAAATAAGAAACGGATATTAACGAATGAACGGACCCACATAAAAAATAAATTTTAAAAATATATTTTATTAATTATAATTAAAATTTTTAATTTGAATAAAAGGGTAAACTTTTTAGCCTATTTTCTTAATTAATTACCCTCCACATGAAGAAATTTAAAGAATAATTACACAGAGAAATTAATCAAAAAACACGTTAAAAATATGTGTATTAGAGGGATTTGCAGGAAAAGGGAAAGAATTCATAAAAATATTCCTCCTTATGCAGAAATTTAAAGAATAAACCGCGTTATATAAGGCAATTATGGACATTGACAGCTTGATAATTGAAGAGGATGGGTATTAATTAAGGCTATTTTATTCTTATATGGAAGGGTTCTAGTTTCGAATTTTTTCTTTCTGTCGCTAAATCACCCTTAATTGTATCAGAGTCCCTTCCTTAAAACCCGTGCCTTTGAAAAACTATATCCCCCCTTCATTCCCTTTCCATTCTAAAAACTCAATTTGGCATATTTCCTTAAAATAAAAAAAAAATAGAAGTAAATGCCTAGATAAGGCAACATAAGAAAGTGGTCAAAAATCAAAAAAGGGGAAAAATATGAACGATTATAAGGCAATTGTGGACATTGAGAGCGGTTCCTTTTTGAAGTATTTTTTATTATTTACACAATTTTGAGGGAAAAAAAGTATAGAGGGGTTTATTATAATACTTATGGGATCGGTGAACGCATAAAATGAGTTGAAGTCTATAAAAAATAAATTTTTTATTAAAGATAATTAATTTTTTGATCTTGTGAATGCTAAAAATATTGAAAATTAGCTCTCGATAGAGGAGATAAAATGACAAGATTGAAGAGAAAATTGGGGATTATAGGCTGGATTTGGGGAGAAAATCAGGGATTATGAGTTGGATTTGGATCCCGCATTTATTATTTTGATACAGACTATAAGCTGAGATCAAACTGAGACTAGATTTCGAACAAAAATCTCGGCTATCGAGAATAGAGATTTTTTGAGAGGTTGAGGGGTTCAAGAAAAGAGAGGGAGAGAGAGAAGGGTTCGAGAAGAAAGTAGAGGGGATTGAGAGGTTGAGGGTTCGAGAAAAAGAGGGGGGAGAGGGGTTCTAGAAGAAAGTAGAGGGGAGATTTTTATAGTATGACCTCCCCAGTCCGACCCCAGCTAAGTAGATTATAACCTTGTAAATTTGAGGTGGAAAGCGGAAATCAGCCTGTGTTTATAGAGAGAGGGTACATTAGGTAAGGACGTAAAACGGATTATGAGGTGAATTTGGGTCTATCGTTTATTGTTCAATAATGGCATTTTTAAAACAACATTTATTGATTCCAATTTTAAAGAATCATCACGTGATGAACAAAAAATTTTAATTTATAGAGCGAAAGGTACACATAAGAGTAAGGTGAAGGGCACAAAAATGAGATAATTTGGAGGCGGCTAAAAATTGAGAGGCGAAAGGGAAAAGCAATGGAGAGTAAGAATAATAAAGAGGGCGGATCTTAAAACCTGAAAAGAAATTTTGGGGGGAAGGTAGTAGAGGGGGAGGGGGGGGGAAGGAAGGGGGGGGGGGGGGGTTGAATGGACTTCACCTTAGATGCCTTCCTTGTCCCCAATGGTTATCAAAATTTAAAAAAATTTTTCCTGATTAGAAACTTGAGGAAGCAAGGTAAAATGAGCCTCTCCCTCATTAACCTCTCTCAATTACCCCAAAATTTCCCTCAATATGCTTGAGGGAAATAAAAGATAAAAATAAATATTAGGAGGGTAATCGGTCATATTTTAGATTAAATTAGGTATTCGAAAAAAATTTTTTCTATGAGAAATTGCTCAGTCTATTTTTACAAAAATAATTAGATAAAAGTTCGTTGATAAATATTTGAAAAAATAATTTTGAGGCAATTAAAATATTTATTTTATTAGTTTTAAATTAAAGATAAGCTTAAAATAAGTCTAGTTCAAAAATCTCAAGATAGAGACTTTTCGAGATA